TCTTAAAACAATCGAAACACACAGCGGTGGAAACATGCTAATTCCCCACCAGGGCGGCATGGCAGCTCAGATCCCGATTAAGAACGACGCGGCAGCCAACGACAAGGCGATGGAGAGCGTGCGGGCGGACAAGCTGCGGGAAGTGCGGGCGGGCCACGACGGGACTTGGGTTGCCCACCCGGCGCTGGCGGCCATCGCCTCGGACGTCTTCAACACCCACATGCCCACCCCGAACCAGCTCTTCGTGCGCCGCGAAGACGTCAATATCACCGCCAACGACCTCCTGAACACCAACGTTCCAGGCAAGATCACCGAGGAGGGCATCCGCAAGAACCTGAACATCGGCCTGTCGTACATGGAGGGCTGGCTCCGGGGTGTGGGCTGTATCCCCATCAACTTCCTCATGGTAAGCTTTTCCCCCATCCTTAACCTGTCCCCTCTCACCCCCCACCCAACCACACCCACCCAACCAATGCTAATACCCAAAATAGGAAGACGCCGCCACCGCCGAAGTCTCGCGCAGTCAACTCTGGCAATGGACGCACCACGGCATCACCACCTCCGACGGCAAGAAGGTCGACAAGGCCTACGCCCTGCGCCTGCTGCAGGAGCAGGCCGACGACCTGGCCGCCAAGGGCCCCGCCGGCAACAAGTTCCAGCAGGCCGCCCGCTACTTCGCCGGTCAGGTCACCGGCGAGGACTACGCGGACTTCCTGACCACCCTCTTGTACAACGAGATCTCCTCGGCGGGTAGTGCGTCCCCCGCGGCCAAGCTGTAGATCGGCTGGACCCGTTGTTTGGAAAAGATGGAACCGGTTATTGATTAACGCTCTTCTTATTTTCTTGTGATGTTAGCTACGGTATTATAATTTCAAACTGGACATTTTCATAACTTGAGCAGATCGTGCTAGTGTAGGAGTGTGTGGGTAAAGGATAGCCACGTCTAGAACGGATGTAGGGAGCCATCTAGCAAGAAACGACAAAGCCTCCAAGACAGCGTCCATGTCATCGCAAGAAGAATAAAGGAAAGTACTCCTGAGATCCAATTTGGTGGTCTGCAGCGCGTGTGCTAGACTACTAGGTACTTTCAACACACCGTCAGATAGAGACCTAGCTTTAGAATGGGAGCGACCACACGCTTTGCGGTGCCGCGGGCGGGTCGCACCCATTTCTAACTTGACCAGGTTAACAACTTTCGCTGCATAATGTATCTAGATGAGGGATCTATCACACTGAGGGTATTAGAGTCGCTTATTGAGTCTTCGTGTGCTTAGTACCCGACGATGCATTCAGTTGAACTAACCAGCATATTCCACAAGATAGGTTTGCTGAATGGTACAGCAAGTAGAGGGTGAAATATCAGTGTATGCCGTATACCTATGACTAAGTTACTTGGCGTAGACTAGACCAATCTACCACTATTACTGAATGACTTCTTCCTCCAGTCCACATAGGCAGGAGCAATATAATTTTTAGAAAGCAGGCACTAATCCATGTCATTCTGTGTGCAACTAAAGCCGTATCTGAATAGAAACCCGAAATATGACCAGCATATGAACCGTCTCCGTCCCACAAGACTGTACTTTCGCCACAGAGCTGCTCGCTACGACAACCGCACATTGTCACATCCAAGAAGCAACTCCTAACATCTCATGCCAAACACCACTCAACATCCCAATTGCCCCAACTTGCCAAGAGAACCTCAAATGTAGAACATCGTATCCTTGACGTTGGGATGGATGGTGACCCTGCCGCCGTCCACGGCATCAGCACCACCCCCACCACCGCCGGTGACAACGCTACCGGTCGGCGTCGCATCGTACAGATCAGACAAATAGCATCGCGCTCGCTCGCAGACCAGATCGGCATAATATGCAGGAGGGCAGATGCTCACGGCCTTGGTCGCCCGTCCGAACAGATAGCACATCTTGTGCGTGAGGTCTTCCAGGATGTCAGCTGTGTTCAGCCCTTCCTTGGGTTTCTCTCGACAGAAGATCTCGTCCCAAACAGTGAAATAGTGCGCCGGGCGAGCGGTGCCCTTAAGAGCAGTGTGAGCCTGTAGGTAGAACTCCCAGTTGCGGGCTTCCGTCACACCGCGGTCGACCACAGTGCCATTCTTAGGATTCAAGTGGCCATCGGCGTCCTCTTTACGCGTAGGATAGAAACGCGTGTGATGCCGCTTGCCCACAATCACGACCGAGATTCGTGGTAGCCCTTTGGCATGCTCTGTTGCTGGGTACAGCTGCTTGCAAGCATTCTTGAGAAGGGGTAGTTCTTCTTTGACAACCATTTCATACTGCCCTTCAGAGACTCCGTCGCGGTAGACAATAATATTGTCCGGATACTGACCCTTGTTGGTTTTAGCCCACCGGCCGAGGTGAGCTTTCAGCATCGTGTCCAACTCACTGACCCTTTCTTGGCGCGATGTTTGGATCCGAAGTTCTGCTGGCCATTGACCCAAGTAGGAATCAATCGAGGCAACCATTCCCGCAACACTTGGGGCTTTTGAGGACGACCCGGGAGAGGGGTGGGTCACATCGATACCAACAAGCATAGTCCTACCCTTGCTCACTATCCCAAGCTCTCTAGGAATCAGCTGATTCGCACCCCCGAGCTTCAGATTGACCTTCAGACCGACGTTGGCGAGGTATTGTTCGCGGCCCCTTTCGGTTGTGAAGTTTTTAACAAGCACATTCACATTGCGGACACCCTCCCGAACGTCACAGACTCGCTTCATGCAGTTATAAACTTCCGTGCTTTGGTCGGTAAGAATGCCAAGAATCATGGTAGGCTTATGAGCGGCCATCAGTCTCTTGACAGCGCCACCAATCTGATCATTCACGTCACCGCGAGCGAGAACAACGCGCTCTCCGCCTTGAGGGGGATTAGCCTGAACCCCGACCTCTCTCAGCTTCGTCACAAAATGTTCCAGGGCGGCCCCCAGTACCTCGCGCGTGGGGGCTCTAGTTGGGCTGGAGTCCAAGAAAAGCCAGCCCCAGGAACCTAAGGTTGAGCCGATTGAGAATTTGATAGACCTCATATTCCAGCTGCCACCGCTGGACAGGAGTCTCTTCTCTTTGTTGTTCGCGTCTTTGTAGAAGATCTGAGGGGCCTCAAGGATGCGGCCGGGTACTGTGATGAGTCGGGGATCTGCTTGGATACCAAACTCTTTCAAAGTAGCATTTGAAGCAGCACTGAGCCCGAGGATGCGAGTTCCATTATTCACAATCGACTGAGCGTTGACTGGCGGAACATTGACTGCGAATTTCAACATTTCCCTTGTCTGGTAGGGGCTCAGCTTGGTCTTAGCTTGCTGCCCAGGTTCGACTTTGCAGACTTCGACGGGTAAATAGCTAGGATTCTCGCGAGTCCCGACATTCATCACTGGCATTCGGGGATCTAGATTTGTCATATTGTAACGCTCGTTGAAGAAGTCCGCCACACTGATGTATCTTCCAGCCGGCGGAGGCCCCGCTGCGGCTGGCTTTTTGCCCTTCTTCTTCGAGGATGCGGACTGCTGCTGCGATGACTGTTGGCCAGCTTCGTCCAACCAGAATTTCACATCATTGGGACCGGCTCCCAGACGAGGGACCGTCGGAGGATGTAGCAGCGATGCGCCATCTCCCGTGTTAGCCAGACTAGCGATTCTCTTGAAACGTGGGATGATTACTCCCTGCTTGTTTTTGCGTTCAATGTGTGTTGCCCGGATTCTCAAGTTTTTCAAGAAACGTTGCAGGGAGTGGAACTCAAAACGGTTGGGTTGATAACTGGTTATCAAGTCCGCTAGCGCGCCCTCCTGGTAGCAGGCCGCATATTTGACTTGAACATTGACGAGCAGGCGACTAGTTGCAGCACGGACGCTCACAAAAAATCCACGAAGAGCCTCGAGCCCATCTCCGAGGTTGTAACCCTCTTTCTGACCTTGAGCAATGGCAAAGTGTCTATTGGCACCCACTGAGTAGATGTTCGGGTCGATTTTGGGCTGATGGCCCAGGACAATGTTCATGGCTTGGAGAATCTCTGGCTTTCTGTCGAACATATTTGTCGCATTGGCCGAGGTCAAGTAGTCCAAGAGATCGGACGGTTCGAGAGTGCCGGTGTGCTGGCACTTCACCCGATAGACCTTTGATGGCTCTGGATATTCATCGTCGTATTCATCCCGGTAGCGGACGTCATACGTGTGCTCATTCTCGCCTTCCTCCAGAAGCTTATCCCGGGAGATGAGAGTGGAGACGAAGTCGGTGACAACGCCATTTCGCTGCGAAGCAAAATGCTCCTCAATCAACAGTTTGATGACTTGCTTCGCCTTCTTGCCGGTAGGCCTCCTGACGGACTGGTCTTCGAGAATTTCGACGCGATGGCGGTGGAGGGTTTTGCCGATCGACTTGAGCTGAAGATAGTTGGCGAATAAGTCGACTCTCGTTCCCTTCGTACCGTAGCCGGGACGCCGGGGGTATTTGCTGTCTTTGGGCGAGGGCGGTGCCTTGACCAATGCGTTCATCATCGCATCCTCCTTCTCTTCGACCTGGGAGCTGGGTTTGAGGTCTCCGCCGGGGGAGAAGACATCCGGGCCGTTGTAGTCAGCTTTTCCGCCGCGTGGCGGGCGACCGCCACGAAATGCATCGGAACCTCTGGGACGACCACGACCCCTGCCATCGCCCCTCCCATCGTCTCCAGGACGGAAGGGAAGATCGAAAGAGCCACGGCCGCTTCCACCTCCACGACCACCACCACCTCCGCCGCCGCCGCCGCCGCCCCCACGATAACCTCCCCGACCACGGTCACCTCTGGCACGGTCACCGCCGCGACCACGGCCTCGTTGCTGCCAACCTCGAGAATCAGACATGATGGACGTGAGCTGACGCGAGGCAAATCAAAATCAGTCAGAGCAAGGCACAAGTCCTGATGGGACAGGGACGGGTACAGTACTAGAGGTCGCTGAGGAATTGTTATGTGATGAGCTGTAGCTTAGCCCCGACCGGAGAAAGTGGGCTCCACCGCTCGGGTTTGGCGCTTTGCGGTGGGTCGGGCACGTTCGTTCCCTTGGAACCGAAGGAACCGAAGGATATGACAGACGATACCCCGCTGACTTGGGCACAATGTGGTGAGAGAGGATGGTGCTGGATGACAGACGGACTCGAACAGTTGAGAGAGTAAAGGATGTTGATGATTGAGGTGAAAGAAAGATGAGGAGCGAAGACGAGATAGGTGGTGCGGGGTACGGTCTATATATCCATGAGTGAACCAAAAGTAAACAAATCGGCCGGTCTGGATCTTTGGGAGGTAACCGTCCCGTTGGACCGAGGAACTCACCGCTGGTGGTAAGCTAGTAAGTAAGAATAAAGGAAGAATAAGCTGCTGACGGAAAGCCAAACCTGGGGATAAGGATGAGGATGAGGATGAGGAGGAGGAGGATGGAAATGAGGAATAATGACGATGGTGGTGGATGAGACGGAGAGAGGTTGGAGCCTGGGTGCCTGAAGAGCGGGTGCCCAAACGGGTAACCGCTGTCATTGTACTGTACAAACAAAAAGAACAAACAACACTCACACTACAGTCTCACTGGCCACCACCAGCAAAGAATCAAGGCTACAGAGGGATGACAGCAACAAGGCCAGCTGGGAAGTTATCTTTTTCAAAATTTCAAAACTGCTGGAAAACTGGAAACTGCTAGCATCCACTCATAGTCTGAAAGAGCAGCCACGCAGACCGCCGTTCTCCAGAAGCATACACCCACAACACACCTCCCTAATCGCCAGACACCTCGACAATCTCCCCCAACATCGCCTGCAAGAACTGCACCTGCTCCACCAAGAACCCTCTGGCCTCCTGCACATCAAACGGACGCTTCCCCAACTCCCGCCGCCTCTCCGTCTGCAACCGCGCCCGGACCCGCTCCTCCAGGATCTCCATGCGGTAGCTCATGTACTGCGTATACATCTCGGACGGATCACTGATGCCGCGCACCCCGGTGAGCACGGTCTCATCGCGCACGAAGGGCGATCGCGGCCGGAAGCAGGTGACCATGCTGATCCTCTCGCGGCCGCCCAGCGCCTTGAGCGCCTGATGCTCGATGTAGCGGCCCTGCATCACCACCGCCGTGCCCATGGCGGGCCCCCGCACTTTCATGATCTCGCCCGTCGCCGTTCGCAGCGCCGTCTCCCCGCCGACCATCCCGCTGCAATCGGACAGCATCGTCACACAGACAAACGGGAAGCTGTCGTAGTGCCACGCCACCGCCGGCAGCTGGTCGGTGTCGGGCGCGTTGTCCGGCGTCAGACGGTCGTGCTCGTCGTTGATGGAGATGTTGATGTTGGCGATCTCAAAGTCCATCGATGGCACGAGGTCGACGCCGGCCACTTCGGAGATCTTGGCGATGAGTTCGGGCGAGCGCCATGCGTCGTAGGTGAAGGGGGCGAGACTGGATCGATGCGCAGTGCCTTGTTAGCTGGGCTTGTTGCATGGTGACAAACGGGTGATGCGGTGGGAAAACTCACGCCGGCCCCATTCCGCGGACCATGTTTTTGTTGAATGTTGACGAGTATTGACATTTCTCCAACACGGGCTCGCTGAAGATCTCCGCGCGCATCTGCTTGATTGCTTCCTCCGTGAACAGGGGGAATGGGTCAGTGACTGCGTTGGGCGAGATGCCGTGGCCTTCGAGGCCGATGTCTTTCATGGTGTAGATCTTTGCGGGGGACTGGAAGGCCAGGTGCTTTTCTGGGGTGAAGGGCTCTTTGGTGCTGAGTCTGGCTCCATCGATGAGACTTTGCGGTAACGCTTTGCTGGGACGAGTCGCTTTCTTCGTGGCAGGGCCGATCACGACCGGCGCCGTGGGAGGGATGAGTGCAGCTGGAGCCATGGTGTGGGATGTGATGATTGTTGTTGAGAACTTCTTGTTGATAGTCTCTCAAGGAGAGAAGATTCAGACCGAAAGACGGAATGATTTATAGAGCAGCTATACATCTATACTCTGGTCCCCAGTTGTTCAACTTGCCTCCCCGTGCCTCCATCCCGATCGCATACTTCTAATCCTCGGCTCTCGCATATCGGCTGCTTGCGATGATCATGTGTGCTAGTAGATTCCCCGCAAAGCTTCAGTGTCTGTGTTTCCGAATCATATCTCGTGATGATAATCACCATCATTGACCCCACTAAGCTATCTGAGAAAGGGTGGAACGGCTTATCGGGCCCTTCTCGGATGGTTATCACGAACCCGACCATCCGACCCGAGAGGAGGGGTTGAAGATCACGTATCCGATCCCTGCTATCGGAGGGATGTAAGTAAGAGCTTAATCTGACGAAAGCAGCTTTAATCCAATGGGCTAGTGATCCCCTATGGGCACCGTAATTTCTCTGATAAGCTATGACTGCCATGCTTAGACTCATCCCAACCCCGCCGATATCGCTATCAGAAAGCACTATAACCGTAGTCGATCAGTCCAGTAAACTAATTCACAGCGACAGGAAGTCATCTCCAGGCTCCCACACGTATCACATACAATCAAGTGATTTAGATAGTGATAGTCACAATGCTATTACCCTTCCACCTAGAAATCACCCCATCCCCGCCCCCGTATCCAGAATACTATGATACTCCTGCCTCCCAATCTGCTCCACAATTGACAGGAACTCATACGACGAGATCCCAATATTATCCAACAACTCTAGATTACTCGTAGTGGGCGTCGGAGCCGACGGGGACGACCAGAACGGGTCCTCTCCACCCGGCGCACCCGCTTCATGCCCCGGTACGATGGGCTCACCTGACTCCTTCCCCCCGGCTTCCAGTGTAGGCAACGTCTCCCCGCCTCCGGTCCCTCCGGCTGTATTCCCAGCTACACAGTCCGGTTGATGTTGCTGCTGCTGCGGAGAATTCCACAGCGAGAGCGTCAGCAACCCGCGCCGCTCGATGCGTTTCGCCAGCTCCGCGAACAGCCCCTCCAGGTAGACTAACTCCCTAGAACGGTTCTCGGCGAGTCGGTTGCCCTTGCTCGCCATCTCAGACAGAATGGAGTGGGCGTTCTGGATGCCCCGGGTGCCGTGCTCGTTTGGGTCGAGGGGGAAGAGGGCTTGCGCCATGGCAAGGTGGATGGCGGCGCTGTAGGTGAATTCGAGGTCGTAGGGGAGGAAGACTTCTACACGTCGGGGTAAGCCAATGTGGTGGGGCGATACTTTTCCCAGTAAGAACTTTGAGGGAAGGGGGCCTACCGAGCGGACTATCCTCATCCGACAGGATCTGCAGCGTCTTGGCCGCGGATTTGATCCCCGTGGCAATCAGGGCTTTCGTCGGCGCGAGGATCGTCTGCCAGTCCTCGTCGCCTTCGGTCAAAGTGTCGAGTCTTTCCTTGAGGACGGAGAGGAGGAGGGGCCGGGTGGCGACCATCACGCACTTTTGTATGGTATTAGTCGGGATAATTTCTTGTTGGACTGGATACTGCGGGCTATTCTTTTTTTCTCTCTTTCCAGAAGAAGAGGACAGGTACGAACCTGATGATACAAAAGCGTAATATGCCGCGTCCCTCGAGGCATCGTATCAATCGAGTTCTGGAATTTTCGGTAGATGATTTTCTCAATCTCCCGCGCGTGACCCGCGAGCGTCTGCAGGATTGACTTGGTTTTGTCCAAGAACGTCCCGAGCTGCGTCTTCTGGGTTTTGTAGATCGCTGGACGGGACCATCAGCCATCGTTAGAGCATCAGGAGTCAAAAAGGTCAAGAGCTCACTGGTAAGAATAAAAGACAGCAGGTGCGACAACCTCACCTGCAAGCACAGGGTCGTATCGCGTTGCGAGCACGCGCTGGGCGAGTCCAGCACTGTGGTGATATCGCTGTCGCGCGTCAACATGGGGATCCCCAGCGAGCAGGAGAAGTGTCGGTCCATGATGTAAAGTGTCCACCACAGGTTGCGGCACCGCTCGACCGTCTGAAGTCCGATCTCCTCCTCGGGAAGTTGCGTGTGTAGGCCTTCGAGCTGCGCGATGCGGATGGCTTGGCCGAGCTGTATTGTTCTTGAGATAAGTTCCCGAGGCAGAAGTAGGGAAGGATCTTACGTATACATGGGCGGACTCCCTGTGATCAATCGAGTACAGATACAGACCAGCTAGAGCCAGCACTTCAATGGCCACTAGGCTGTCCTTCCAGACGGAGGCGTGGTCCGGCATCAAGGCCATCGCGCGGATAAAGAACTTTGACCCTGGCGGCTCGGTGGTGCATTTGCAGCGGGAGGAGAGAAAGGCGTTCCCGAAGGACAAGACGAGGAGGAATTGTACGAACCACAGACGCGATGCGGCAGCTTTCTCGGCTGCGTTCCCGTGGTAGAACTCCTGAAGATGCTCGACAAAGGTGGCTTCGTCGAGAAAGCGATAGCTCTGACCGAGATGGAATTTGACAGTGTTGAACAGGTAGAGAGCGTGATCGATGGACGGTAGCCCGCTGATGTCGGGGGGGTCGTCGGGTGGGCATGATTTCAATCGGAGGACATAGATGTCCTCCCCGGAAAAATTCGGGGCGCTGTAGGGGGAGTCTAACTCGAGCTTCTCAGCTAGAAGGAGGGTGAGTCTGGCAGTAAAGGACCAGGTTGATGAGGGTGCCAGCCAAACTGCGCCATTCTTGGTTAGCTGACACCGACAGGCGGAGAGCATGGTAACTCACCCCAGTTGCGTTTGTTCCTCTGGGTGTTCTTGATGGTTCTCGAGGGGAGTGTGAATGGACTCGTCCAGATGCTGCGCGCGCCGTCGACCGTTGGATTGGACAACTCGGCAGGTCGTTGCATTCCTATGTATGGTGCTGAATCGAAATGCTGAGAAACGAGAGAAGGAGGAGTGAGCAGCACATCAGGGCAATCCTCATGGCCATCTGACACAAAAGCAAGACCTGCGGGTCGCTTGGCCCCTGCGCATTAGGTCAGTCTTATGCGCTTGCTGCGATGTTGTGAGGTTCCTCAGATTCCTCGGTTCCTCACCTGATGCCTGACTGTTTATCTCAAAGGGAGTGGTGTTGCTGGGTTGATGAGTGATTATCCTATGACCACCATCCACAAATCGACAGTTCACCATGCGTCGTTGGCAATTCCCACATGGCTGATTCCCAGAGCATTTGATTTTACTCTGCCGGCATGGGATGCACCTGTCTCGGATGTTAGTGGGAGGAGTCCGGCGGGGAGCGTGTGGGGGGCCCTGGCCCTTACGCATTGGCAGTCCTTCGGAACTTTCGGCGCTCAGTCCTACCCTCGGTCGTCATTGCAATTGATGGCCGTGCAACTATCATCTATAATGTGCAGGAGTTCGCAAGCTCGGCTTGGGGCGATGGCATGATCAAAGGAGATAAAAAGAACAGTTGGCAGAGCCGAAGGCGACACTGGCAATGGCGGGGAACGACGGGTGGCTGCTGGTTGACTCCATCCCCGCAGATAACTAGTTAACTTGGTGGCAGGATAAGGCCGATAAGTGCTCAAGTAGGGCTAGTGCTCGCTTTTAGCGTTGATCTCGATACGAGAGATCTTCTCCTATCATCCCAATCAAGAAAGTCTGGTGAGAGCCGAGGAACCCGGCTCACTCTATTTGCTGCACCAACCATAACAAATGTATGTACTAGGTACCTGGTACTTGTGAATGATTTAATGTAGGGTTGATACTGAGCAAATCCAGAAGAAATCGAATTTCATCTATCTGCCCCGCCTTGACTACCCAAAGACCAAACACGCTCACGCGACGTCAAACTCGATAGTGCCCCACTCCTCAAAAGTACACCTCCACTTCCCGGGCTTATTCATCGGCACGGCCTGGAGACAACTGCCAGGTAGAATCACCTGGCCGGCTTGAAATTCAATATCGTACGCAGCCAGTCGATTCACCAACCAGGCCACTGCCGACAGGGGATTACCCAGCACATTCCCCGTGTTTCCATCCATCACCTCCCGACCATTAAACTGGAGCGTACCCCGCACATCCCGCAGACTCTTTAGATCTGTGAGCTTCCGGGGAGTGCCGCCGAGAATGACATTGGCAGTGGAGCCGTTGTCAGCCAGAGTGTCGGGCAGATCGATCGCCCAATTCTCCACCCGAGAGTCGATGATCTCGATGGCAGGTATAGCATAGTCAATGGCGTTGATCACATCGGCTACCGTCACGTTGGGACCGCGGAGCGAGCTGCGCAGCACAAAAGCAGGCTCCAGCTCCACGTAGGGCTTGATATAGTGGTCGAGATGAACGGTAGTGCTCTCGTAGAGAAAGGTGCTGGCCAGAAGGAAGCCGTAGTCTGGTTGATCGAGGCCAAATGCGTCCTGCATGACCTTGGCTATGTTTCCGAGCTTGTAACCGACCAAGCGATCACCGTTGCTGACGGCGTGCTTGACATTCAGTCGCTGCACCTCGAAAGCCGAGTCCGCGTCAAGAGCGGGCCAGGTCTTGGTGGGTGGTGTGATGGGGGCTCGATTGTCGCGCGCGGTGCGCAGGGCCAGCGCCACTTCTTGTAATTCGTTCGTTTGCATGGTGTTTGTGTATTGTCCGAATTGCAAATGGTATCAAAAATGCGAAGATTTTGTGAAGAGGATGCAGTAGTGCGCGTGGACTCTCTTCTTCAGATGCTGATCGGATATCATGGTAGCCATCGTTGGTCTTATACTAATTCGCAGCTAGTCAAGAATTCACCTCGGACTACATTGAGATACAAAAGGACATGTTGATAACTGCCGGGTACCTTCAGCCCTCGGCTTGAGGCAATGGTTCAAGCCATTAACTAGTAGCCGTGATCCGATCCGACAAACGGATAGACCCGACCTCGGATAGCGGAGGTCTCATCATCCTCAGCACTCCATACTGTAAACCCTCGTTATAACGATAGAATTGGTGAGGCCCCTTGGAATCGTTGTATAGTAGATATCGCTGTATTGAACCGGTATAAACGGTATATACAAGTGACATCTCTTATATAATATATTCCCAATACTCAAGATTTTTGTATGGGTAGATAAATGACAATCCCGATTATCGCGATAAAGCGACACAGCAATTTTTGTATAGTAGAACTAAGTTTCTTGTTCGGCACAATCGTTGTCGATCGATAATCGTTATAATGCGTATCTTTATAACGAGGGTTTACAGTACAGTCTAGGAATTGTCTGCTCCGGCCAGCCGAGACTCGCTACTGGCCTACAGAGATGGAGGTTGCATGCTTAGCCTGGGCTGTCCACAAACTGAGGACTAGAGAAGAGAGCGCCCTAGTATCATTATCTACGATTGTCTTCAACGACCATGCATCTACCGTCGGGCTCTGTACCCATAGCTCCTTGGATAATACTCTCGCGGTCAAAAGGCTCGATCTGCAACTTGGCCCTGCATCTCAGTACATGGAGCAAAATGCATGCATACTGCATACATTGAATGTGACCGAACTGTCTGTTTATCGATGACTAAGCACGTTTCCCCCCCTTGACGCGCAAACCGCAACAGTTTAACTCTTCCATCAACGAACCGGCTTCAGCATGATCGAAATGAAGGTGGTATCATCGACATGGCGTCCGTATCCGGCCACTCGATCCATTTCCCTTTGTAGGTGTGTCGTGTCCTGTTCAACGGTCACCTCCCGAAAGGTTTCAACGATGAACAACAATGGCCGACTATTCGAATACACATCTGGTCGATGGATGTGAGTTGCCCAACGAGGCCTTCTACTTCCCAGCTTTGATAGCTTATATAGGTAGATACAACGAGAAATTCCGTTTCGCTGAGCGTCACAGAAAGTTTGATGTTGATGCATTAAAAAGCGCCGCTGCTCGATCGCTGGAGAGATCGGACACAAATATCAAGAGTCTATCGAAGCTGGCAGAAGGAGGCTTCAATCGTGTCCTACAGATCACCATGCTTGATGATACTCAGTTCCTTGCCCGATTGCCATATCCCTCAACTAGACCAAGGCAATTGGCAGTCGCTAGCGAGGTGGCGACCCTGGCTCTCCTTCGGGGTTATGGTATTCCGGTGCCCCATGTGTACGCATACTCTACAGATGCTAACAATCCTGTTGGCTCTGAGTATATTATCATGGAGAAGCTACCAGGAAGACCACTTGGTGATCGGTGGTTCGATCTATCTGATCGCGAGCGTCTAAAGGTGCTTCTGCAGCTTGTTCAGCTGGAAGCAAAGGTTCATGCTATTGAGCTTCCTGCAAGCGGAAGCATATACTATGCCAACGACCTGCCATTGGACTCACCCCGCGTTGTCATCCCAGACTCGGATTTCTGCATCGGTCCTAGTACAGCTCTTGAATGGTGGTTCGCAGAGCGTGCCTCGCTCCGCACTGATCGCGGCCCTTGTAAGTGCCTCTTATGCCAGCTTGCCTCCCTCCTGACCATGTACTAGGTAAGGACCCAATCGATGTTCTCCGAAATCCTGCATTGAAAGAACTGGCCTGGCTGCGTGCAAATGGCCGGTCGCGCTTCCCATTTGAACGTGCATATCGCGAATTCACGAATTACCGATTGTCTGATCCCAGTGAGCATATTGCGTCGCTGGAATTCTACCTCAAGATTGCTCCTGAACTGCTTCCACCGAACGAATTCTTACGACCTGTCCTTCGCCACCCTGATCTTCAGCCGAACAACATTTTTGTCTCCGACGATCTCGAGATTGTCGGATTGATTGACTGGCAACACGCATCTGTGCTGCCAGTCTTTCTCGCTGCCGGGATCCCGAAATTCCTTCAGAACTACGATGACCCTGAATCGCTTAATTTCCGCCCGCCTCCTACCCCGGATCTTGACGACATGGACGAGGGAGAAAAAGCCGAGGCTCTTCATGTTTTCAAGCGTCGCCATACCCACTTCTTTTACTTGGCTTTCACGCAGCGTTTCAATGGACCTCACTTCCGCGCCATGGATCAGGATACGAACATGCTTACGCGCCGCATTTTTACCCACGCAGGCGAGCCCTGGGAGGGGAATAACATCCCACTCCAGGCTGACCTTGTTCTAATCTCTAAATGCTGGCACCGATTTTCAACCAGCCCGTGTCCGATATCATTCTCGACGACCAAGGCTGATTCCATCATGCACTCACAAGGCGAGCAGGAAGAGGTTGACCTCCAACTCAAACAGATTCGCAATATCATTGGCATCGGCGTGGACGGTTGGACCCCTTTAGAAGAATATGAAGCCGCCTGTGCTCGTGCCCGTCAGGCAAAAATCGATGGCCTTGCTTCACTTGACACTGACCACGAGCGCGAAATGGCGAAGCGACACCGGCCGTTTGATGACCATGATGAGGACGAGTAGCACCATATTCCTTTCGTTGTTGGACTACTGGAGCCATGGAGGGGTATTTTACATTCGACTTTTGCTGTCATGCATGCGGGAATTCCTCTATAACACGGATGAACCCTGAATACAGATACATCGGCGAGAACACACGAGGTCCTGGTCGCCCTGTCCCTGCCCTGTTGTACCATTAGGCATTCTGACAGACCGAGGTACCGGCCGATGGCTCAAAGTTCTAGGTTTCTCGGTGAAGGAAGCTTGTACACTAAAGCAGCGAGGATTTGGAGCTAATCAACTTGTTGATTTCATTGGTTAAAGTACGTACACAGAGAGGAGGATGGTGGTGAGAAGGGCCAGCTAAGGTAATTTCTCACATCATGTGGCCGCCGCTTATAACGTTACAGGCCATCCGCGGCGACACAGGTGCCATTACTATCGTTGTCTACAGGCAGCAGTTCTAAACACTACTATGTAAGTAAGACTGTAACTGACGGTATGAATGTCTAAAAAGGGTAGCCAGTAGGCACAGGCAAAATCAACATATGGGGTAGTTAGCGTTTTTCTAAGACAATATCTATTCTTGTTAATGAGAAGGAAGTTTGTATACTCGCGCTAATGCTATTAAGCATTCAACTTTACCTCTCTGATGAAAATCAATTATGCTGCTCTAGTCCGTTGTGCTTGTAAGTTGAAGTGTAATGCGTATCACATATTTCAGCACAGACTATTTTAATCTGCAAGCGATGATTAATCTGGACCATCGGTCATCGATACTGCTAGTCGCGCTCGCTCAAGGAAATCCACGATCCTTGCCAAACTACATAATCGACATTAGTACATCATGTGATCTCACTTCGACCTCCTGGACCCCTCATTTCTGAAACCCTTCCGCATAACAAAGAAGTCCATCAGTTGTTTTTTCCAGCAGTTCCCGCCATGCGCCTATATGAAAGCAAATTAATGCTTGATGCCCGGTCGAAAGCATGCGGCGATGCTGAACAGAGTGGAATAGTCGATGTCGATGCTCTACTTTCGGACCCAAAGGTACGCTGATGCCATTTTCGGTACCGCCTAGACTGAAAAGTCACTCAGTTCATACACTCTCTTCGCGAGCTGTGGTCGCATATTCCGGGAAAGACAAGACGAAGTATCTGCTGCCGGCAAACAAAGCCTAGTCGGAGACATCGGTCGTTCGAACCTCAGAAGCCATAAAAAGCCAAATATAAGCCCCCCGCAGGAGTTCTGGGCCCGTATACCCTCTTGGATCAAGGATCCGAAGCTATTCTTTGATGAGCAAGGACTTATGCTAAGTTTGGAGGTTTCCCCTATTGCTGGGATCTACCAGTACCTTGACGGACTGGGTCTGCGGGGGAAGGTCGACATTATTCGTGCGCGCCTTGTGAAAATAGTCTTCCACCGATTGAAGGAAAGATTAGGTCTGCGATACATTCGTTCTGACAATATCGACTATTTGGTGAAAATCATTTCAAACTCGGGATTTTCGGATTTTGATCCGAGTGACATCAGACCGAAGATCGTTAGATGAATAGATCTAGGCAAGAAAATCGATGCATTCTGTCAGAGTATTGGGAGCTCTGGAGGCCACGAGAACTCCCACCTGGGCAACTTATTTTGCCTACCGAAGGACTGCCATGATGAGTTGTCAGTTACGAGGTCAAAGGTGTGTAGTAGACTTTACTAATGGGTTTGAAGCATAAGAGTCTTAGGTTTAAAAGGGCCGCAACGAAATCAACAAGTCCAACAATTCAAAGATCGTGGCATACTAGAGGTGCAGGGTAGACCTAGTCCGGATCTACTTGCGGCGAACGTATTCGATGTCTTATGGAGTAAAATTGATATGTCGACAAATGATGTTATCAAGAAATCGTCGGAGTCAACTTTAGGTAAATTATAACCTTAATTGCAAAGAATACAACTAACAAGGAATATGACAGGACGAAATCTTCAACATACGTATTGCTTTCGGTTAAATGAGCAGCAGCCCAGACAAGTCACAGACTCGAACACACCAATACCGAATAATCAAGTTCTTAGCATATCTGACGCATATGGGAGTGACGATACCCCCGAGTCTGTAACGGCCAGCGGTATATCGCCAGCGATTACCACAGCCAGGCTATTTGAAGTTCCCAATCAGTCCTACGGGCACATCGCAAATCAGCTTTCGAATGGATTCAGTTCACACAATGGACAATCCTTAAATGATATAGAAAACATTGTCAATGTCTACGACATGATTCAGCCAATTTTGCCCGTCCAAGCCTTCCATTCTTTCAGCGAGCAGGACCGCGGAAGTATGGGAAACATGGTGAACGTGCATGATATGCTGCAACCAATCGTTCCGACGCAAGACTACGGCTCTATCCGTGGCGATGTTCACCACGAACCATTCCTCCAACTCTCATATGGTAGATCTATTATTCTGACTCAAAACTTCACTTATTATATTCGTCCTTCGAGAACTTCACCTCTCCATCATGATACCAATTACCGGAGGTGATGCGATCTCCGTCTTTAGTAAAAATTTGCCCAGAGACACGAAGCTTAGGGTCTTTCAGCGATGGATGTTCTCGGCCACTACCGGCGAGGAAGACTCAGCTGAGGCTTTGTAGGAAGGAAAGAAGATTTTTATATGCGACTTCGATTTTCTCGGCTTTACTCTTGAGTTTTGGATTGTCTTCAACTGATTTCATGATTATATCATCGTACTTTGCGACCCGCTCGGTATTTTTCCAGATGATCTGGAGTAATGATCGCGCGGGGGTAGAGAACGTACGTGACATTCTTGGGGTTTCTTTTCTTCTGAGCAGAAGTAAAATTGATTTTGATGAACAGAGCAAGTCGGGCAAAGAAAGCAATTTGGAGTCCCACGATGATTCTCCTTTACAGCTCAACGATTTGCCTTTATATGGTGTCAGAATTTGTTGGAGATAAGAGACCGAGAAGCAAAAGTTGCTTCTTATGCTGGCACCTGAGGTAGCTCAAGGTCCATGCTGCAACATGTACATAGCTTTATGAGAGCAGCATTGACATCTTCTTCATGATTATTGGCTGAATGTAAAACGAATGTCCTTCTGGCCAGCCAAACCAAGTCGCTGAAAAGACAGTGCCATGGCAGAAAACTTGAGCTAAGAGGGTGAAATGGGCAATAGTCGATACAGCACTGCTGGGCAAATGGTTCATGAAATCTAGTATCACGCCTATGTAATCAATCATGAGTCTCAGTTGATTGACCTTCTTAGATCAATGCCTATTGTGGCTTCTTGATTTAGGCGTCCCTCGAATTAACATGTATGGCGCGCTCCTTTCGGACCCGCAATCTCACGAGAATACTCATTCCCAAAGTCGAGAAAAGGGGTTATGTACAGTTTCATTGTATATGAGGAACTAGTGTGTGAAGTCACAGGCGATGAACCCGCTTATTAGCGCAATAGACATGGGTCCGGAGGCATTGCAACTTTGGAAGTTGAAGTAACTACTCGGCAATCTGCTATGACGGACAAATGAATACAGTAAACCGAATCATTTTTCACCGCTATGCCCTTTTGGGAGAATCTCGTTGTTGCCAACAAGATTCTCCCAAAACGGCATAGCGGGGGGCTAACTGGAACTGGCGCTGTGGAGCTCCAGGCTGGCACCTCGCGAACCTCTTTTAGACAATTTTAATCTTCAGCCAACGCGCCATCTTCCAGCAACTTGAATAGCATGCCACAACCTCCAAGTGAACTATCTAACTACACATCCTACATCCTTCTCTGGTTTGTGAGGGATTTAGGTACGCGAGGTTGAAGCTTGCCTCTGCCAACGCTTACAATGGCACCAGAAGAAACGCAGAACAATGCTACTATACAGTGAGCGGTCAATAATCTTTCCTTGCAATGTAACAGCATCGCCTACTTCTTCAGACGACCAGAAGAGAGAGAGATCAAGAGATCAACCGACTGGTCTCCTCCAACTTCTGCCCCCTCGTCTCCGGCAACAGGAACACCCCCCACAGGAGACCCAGTAGCGCCACCACGAAGAAGAACCAGAAGGTGCCCTTCGGCTGCAGCGCATCCGCCAGCATCATCGTCGGGACAGCCTGGTAATTTGCTTCAGTCAGCCAAACTATCCTCTCTACAACCAACCCCGGCTCACCAGCGGAGGCGATAGCCAACATCTTTTACAGGTCCACCAACAGCAAATGAAGCAACATACCTTGGTAAGAGCAAACCGGTTCGCATAATGCACACACATCAGCAGACTCGTTCCCAGCGTGCGGACCGCCGTAGGCAGCATCTCCGCCGTGATCAGGTACTGGATCGAGTTCCAGCCAAAGGCGTACCCGACGCCTGTGATATAGATGGCGGCGATGGCGGCGATGGCCGCGCGATGAGCGGACGCGCTACCGTCTGTTCCGGAGGGTAGCGCGGTGAGGTAGATGGCCACATACAGCAGGGCGAGTACCTGCAGGGCAATCCCCAGCGTGAGGCAGCGTTTACGGCCGAGGCTGTCAAGAAACAGTACGGCGCAGAGGAGGGCGGAGCCCAGTTTCACGGCGCCGAAGATGGCGGTCTTGAAGAGTTTCTCCGAGGAGCCGGTCATGCCAAGGAGGGAGAAGAACTTGGGGGCGTATGCTGTGGAAAGGTGTCAGTTGCTGAATAGTTGATAGGGATGGAAGAGGGAGAGGGGGTTCAGACTTGTGATCGCGTTGGTGCCGGACCATTGACTCAAGAGTTGGGCTGAGAGCAGGAACAGAAAGCGTTTGCGGTTGGCTGACTGGCCGAACAAAAGTTTCCATGAGGTCAGCAAAGATCGTCCGAGATTCTTAGAGGTATTGTGTGCTGTCTGCTGCAGGATGGATTCGATCTCGTCCTGGATCTCGGGGCTGTCTTCGGGGAGGGTTCGCAGTCGACTTAGGGATCGTGTGGCCCGGTCGGTGTGCTGCTTCTGGCATAGATAGCGGGGGCTTTCGACACAGCCGATGGACACAATGAGAATGAACCCGGCCATCATTATCTGACTCGACTGCGGAATGATCCATTGCTGGTTGTTATTGTTGGCGATATGCAGTGATGCGCCGTACCCAGCAAAATACTACAGCCCGTCAGTTAGCAACCGGCTGACCACCGCCGACGAACCTCCGCAACTCACCCCTATCAAAACACCCACATACTCCGAAGCAGCATACACACCCACCATCATACCCCGCCACGAGGCCGGTGCAATCTCAGCAAGATAAATGGGCCCGATAATGCCAGCTTGGCCAATCCCCAGCCCCACGATGAAGCGACCCGCCAGCAGCTGGCCATAGTTACCCGATGACGAGATCACTAGCGCCACTCCCACGATCCACAGCACGCACAACTGCCGCATCATCCACAGCGGGCTCACTCTATCGCTCAGCAAAAAGGCTAGCACTGCTGCGGGTAAGCAGCCGAGGTTCACCATGGACGTGATGTTAGACAACCGGTTGGCTTGCTCAGCTGCACTGAGGTTGCTGGCATGAAGCTTAAACTCCTGAATGAAAGACGGCAGGTCCACAGTGGTCGCAATCAGACCTTCGTCCAGCCCTTTGGCAGATCCCAGCAGGCCGAAGCCGATCATGGCGCAGATGATTTGGGGGGCAAAGCATCGCATGGTGATGGAGTGAATGGCGCTTCCATAGCACAATCTGTGCTTGACGAGGGCTCAGATGTTTCTGGGTGTTACTCTCATTTTGCAAGAATACTTTCCTGGTTTATAGGGAATTTGAAAGATACCAAGGTCCCCTGCTCCAGTGCACCGGACAGGTTTTCGGCTTATTGTGGAAGGTCTCCGGGGTGGGTACCCCCAGACATCCTCCACTACGGGACAAGTGCGACTGCGAGTTCTCCGCGCCAGTTACACTGCTTCCCCCTCAGCACATCGTAGAAACCTCGTCATGTGGAGGATGTCAGTCAGGTCAAGCAATGTCTATTGAAGATTTTCGAAGACTTGTAAAGCTGCGTGTGCGAGTGGAGCGACAGACGCGTTGGAAGACTGCATGATAGCTATTCTGAGGCTATCATAGTGGATTCGTCTGGAAGCCAGAACATACATTTCAAATGAAATTGGCCAATGCAATCAACACAATGAGGTGGTGGCCTAGCTTAGCTAAGAATCTGCGCATGCGAGGGACGGTCAGCCCTATAGGGCTGGACAAGGCACGGAGTGGGGCTGCACAGGCCAAGCTCTCGGATCGAACGGCAGGCAGCCAGACTCCGGCTGTTTCTGCAGCTGGACAATGCCGTGAACACCGCAGATGAGCCGAATGAGGATAAGTGTTGGCAGTTACTAGCGCAGCGCACGATCCCCACGCCCTTGGTGCATATGGTGTGCCTTCTAGCGACCAGGGATGGTTGATCCTGGTTTTCTCCTCAACACCCTCAACATGTGTCTACCTAGTTGCAACTAACACAAAACTTGATAAACTCAACGTATACGTATAACAAGCCATAAAACAACGAGCAATTCACCCCTCAGCCCAGATCCAAACCCCGGAAGCAAAATACGTACTACCCCCGCACCTCATTCAACCACCACCCCAGCTCAACCCCCAACCTCCCCGGCTGATCATACATCACCAAATGGCCCGCCCCCTCAATCAACACCAGCTCCCTCGCATTCAGCCTGTCCCTCAACCTCCCCGCCGTTTCCACGGGAATCCACCGATCCTCCACCCCCCAAACCACCAACACAGGCATATTGGCGCCAACCTCGCCATATCGCCCCTCCACCGCCTCCGTACTCCGATAATTCGCCTGCACCATCTGCCTCACAAACCCCTTCCGCCCTCCCTGTCCCCTTCTCACCCACGGCTCCTTCAACATCTCCATCCTCTCCTTGCTTAGTTCAGTAAACGCCGCATCCCGGATATACGCCTCCACAATCCCCTCAAACACCGGCCCAGTCAACGCTTCAAACACCGGCTGGTTCTCAGCTACCAGCTTAAAGAGAGGCTGTCCGAACGGCCCCAGCGCCACGACATTGATCAAACACAGACTTGCATATTGAAGTCCATGTAGCAGATGTGCACGCAGACTCATCAACCCCCCGTGGTCGTGGGCGATCACATGTGCGCGTCTTTGGTAGACGGGCGGCCAGATTTGGGACCAGTGGGTGTACAGCGCGGCGAAGATGGCGGTTTGGTCGGATAGGTCGGCGTCTAGCGCGATGGTTTTGGTGGTTTCAGGGTTGTGTTGGTGGGAGGGGAGCGGCGTGCCGAGCGGGCTGTGGCCGAAGCCGGGGTTGTCGAAGAGGTGGACGTGGAAGGTGCGGGCGAGGGTGAGGGCGTAGTCGTGCCAGACGGCGGAGGACCAGGGGGTGCCGTGGATGAAGATTAGGGGGGGATGGGAGGGGTTGCCGAGGGTGGTCCAGTGGATGGTGTGGCTGTAGGTGGTGGTGTTGTGGTGGAAGGTCTGGGGGAGGGGGATACTTTGAGGGGGAGGTGTGGAGGGCATGGTTTGTTGGTGGTGAAAGAGAGGCGGTGGATCAGGGATGAGGGGTGGGTTTGTATACTTGGGCGGGTTTTCCAGAGGGTGTGTCTTTATTTACTTTGAGAGAGTGAAGGAAAGAATAAAAGGGTGAGGCCAGCATGGAGTGAAAAGGAGTTCTGAAGGTAACGATATTTAAAGTCACCTCTTACATCAGCAGCTGGAACGTTAACCTAGGCGGAAGTACGTCAGAAATGCGGGGTTTATCGGCTGCTATGCAGGGATCCCTGCTTGTTGACAACAAGCTAGATTACACCAAGACGGTACTTTATTCGACGGTAGTCAGAAAAGCTTACAAAGATCTATACAACTCGAAATCAAACTAGATTGCTAGGTACCCGACCTTAACCCATCAAATTCACACTTAGTTGGAAACCAGCAAGGGTAAGAACAAAGCCAACCTGACCTTAAGTAAAGATAGACAACAGACATAGCAAGAATAGACCCAGCACCCTCATCTCCGACCCTTCTGACTGAATGGATTACCCCTTCACAACCCCCGTTCCTCCATATACCTCGCCCTCTGCAACCCCGCTGGGATTGACTCCTCGAAAATCACAACAGCTTCCCCGTCCTCGTCCTCTAGCCGCTGGAAATAATTGCATCCCCCCACCGCACAAGTGTAGAACAAGGCGCCGGGAAAGCACCGGCGGTCATTCTGGCTGGCTACCTGTAGACGACAGGGCAGCTGGCCCTCACAGTCACACGTGGGGTTGTCGGGGTGCACACCTCGCAGATCCGCGAAGCACGCAAAGGTTCCACAGTGGTCGCAGCGGTAGTAAGGACGTCCAGCGTTGCCGTTCTCGTTGGTCTCGGAGACAGTGTACTGGGATGTGATGGCGTTGCATCTGCGGCAGGGCGGAGGACGTGGGCGTCGGGGAGCGGTTGATGCGGTGGTGGCGGTGCGTAGGCCGGTGCTGGTCATTTGGACGGCAGAGTACTTGGTCGGTCGGTTGGGGTTGGGGTTGGGCATTCTGGGCTTGTCGGTGGTTGAGTTGATGGTCTGTTTCGGCTCTCAGGGAAGTCAGCCGTGAGATCTTAGACGTATGACTGAGGGATGATGAGATAGATGGATGATAGCTTTTTTTTGTCGGGCTGGATAGCATGAAACAAAGACGCATAATTAATGAACGAATTGCATAGTACTATCTAGCCTGAGGGGCATAATTTATCCAATCGTGGAACACAAACAATTAGGGAGCAATGGCGGAGAGTAATTCCCGATGACAGCTTTCTTCGTTCACTGGACCAGACACCCCGAGTCATAGTCATGTATACCGGTCCGCCGACCGCTGTGTCTTCTAGCAACGGCATCTGCCCTTTTAGCATACTCCCACCACATACAGATATTGAGATTATCATCCCACCAAGATGAACAGGTCTTGCAGTAGCCGGCATCTTGAACATTATTGTTCTTATCGCGTTTCAAGCCCATCTTGTTTTCGTAAGCGTCAAAGTCTGCTGGCGAATGCTCTCGATATAACGCCAACACCTTTGTCCGGCGCGCCTGAACAGCGTACCATATGGCAGTCTTGCCAGCAGTGTCTCTCAAGGTGATACTTGCGCCGGCGGAAAGGAGCAGCTGAACCTGGCTCACCCATCCATGGTAACCTGCATGCGATAGGGCTGTCACTGCCCCGTCCAGTGTGTAGTCGGGATCAGCCCCCTTGGAGAGGAAATAGCTCATCGCGCCATTGTGATGGCTAAAGGCCGCGATGACCATTGCGTCGGGGACGCTATGTTCTAATTCAGGGAACCTGTCCAAAAAGCCCTGCGCAATGCCATCCTTCCCAAGATATGCTGCACAGAGGAGGGTGTTGAAGCCAACAGCTGTGCTGAACAGGTTGAAGCCATCAGCTGTCCTGGACAGGCTACGGTCGTTGTGTCGATACTTGGAAAGGGCAAAGCATCGATCACAGGCGTCCCACATCTCATGAAATGCTCTATGTCCATGGTAGACAGTCTGAATGACGAAAGGATATCTTTCTTTGGCTTCATGACTGTCCTCTTTACAAGGAGACAAACCCCATTGAGGAAAGCTACCACGAGGAAGGCTGCCGTATAGAATAGCACCGTAGTCACACAGAAGCTCGCATATTTCCCAGTTGCTCTGGAAAACAGCCAAGCTCAGCTTGCAACTATCGTAAGAACAATGATCATTGGCCGAAACCCCGTTAGCCAGTAGAAATGAAACGCTGTCTGCATCTCTATGAAACACTGCTTGACACAATCGATGATGCAAAGAATGATTCCAGTTCGAGTCGTATCCCTTCTCGAGCAGGGCTGGCATGACAGCACTCATATTCCTTTGGTCGGCAAGATCGAAGACTGTCAGACCATCATCATTCGAGGAATCTTGATTCGCCTTTCTTGCAATCAGCTCATCAACGATGGGTTTATGGTTATGGGTCGCGGCCAGATGAAATAGCGAACAGCCCTTAGAGTCCCTGCATTCAACCTCAAAACCTCGGTTGAGAAAGAATTTGACGATCTCAAGATGGCCCTTCCTGGCGGCCACAAAAACCGGGTGGTATTTCATAGTGGGCCACCTCAGCTGTTTAGCCTCGGATTCATTAGTCGGAAAGGTGGCTCCATATTTGACGAGTTTGTTGAGTATCTCCACTTTGTCATGAGAGCTGGCCCAGCGAGAGATGTTCATGCGCAAGTCAGCCGTCGCCGTGTCTTGCTTTCCGCGTCCATAGAGTAGCGGTTCGTACACTTGCTGCAAGTGGCGGTTGGTCTGGGCTAGAGCGCCGACGTCCTCCTTTCGGGCAAGATGATCGCCAATATTAATAAGTAACTCCGGGGGTAGGGTGATGAATGACATATTGGCTCAGCTGATGGAAAGGTCCGTTAGATCTCAGAGCTCAAACAATTAGAATAGAAGGTCTCACCTTCTGAGATAGTGGATTCAAAAAAGATGATACAAAGGAGATGGACTCAGATTGGTTGGAGATTGGAGTCAGTGGAAATGTCTCGAACTGAATGAGTGGTGGAACAGAGGATCAGGGTTGTAGATGAGGAGGGAGAGATGAGGAGGGAGAGATGAAGAGGGAGGGATGAAGAGGGAGAGATGAAGAGGGAGAGATGAAGAGGGAGAGATGATGAGGGAGAGATGAGGAGGGTAAGACGAGGAGGGAGAGATGAGGAGGGAGAGGTGAAGAGGGAGAGGATTAAAGCGAGGAAGATTGGGAGGGAGATCAGGAGATGGGTGTTAGGGAAGAATAGTGTGGCAGGGGAGTTGATGAGAATGGAGAAGAGAGAGGACAGATATGTAAACAAAACCCATCTCAGGAGTGAGGGGGTGCCTAGTGTACTCTTCTCATACATTCACTGAATGGTTGTTAGGCCATCCGCCCTCAGTCTCTCGTCCTAATGCGGACATTGCGTTGACTTCAGGTCTTACTCATAAATACCCTTTATACCTTGCACAAAGATCAAGCTTTCAAGTTTTCAGCCTTGTCTCTTGCACTTCAGCACCAACCAACAACAGCGTCAAGCAAAACTCATGACCTAAGCTGTCCTTTAGCAGCAGTGGTGTGCATATGGTACATCGATAATAGCTTCATATCCAGATATTCATGATACAGTGGAACACAGCTGCACCTGGCAGACACGGGAGCATGTATGCCCGATCGACACAACATTGCACAAGTCAACATTTATCTACCTATTCGATATCACAAGTTCAATCCGGATAGCCTATATCTTCTACGCCGAGCATTACCCAAGCTAAGTCAACTACCCTTCATTTTTTTCCCACGATAATAAAGGGGATGCCGTTCTAGCCCGACGTCATGGACCCGAGACCATCAAGCTTCTTCTGATGAGAACAACGAACTAGAGCGGAATACAAAATATTGTAAGATCATGTGGTTGCTATTGCTCAAGATAATGATGAACTCTTACCCCTTCGAAATTTCAGGTCGGAGGGTTAATCGGGAAATTTTCGTGAAATGGCTACAGGATTGCTTTGTCGTATTGACTACAACTTATTCAGTCAAGGATGCTTCAAAAAGTCTACTGGAAGCGAGCATTCTATCATTGTCATGTCTTGGCTGAAGCGGTTGAGGATGACACCAGTGTCGGTTGATGTATGCCAGTATAGCGGTGCATCTTTGATCTTGGTTACCAAATGCTCGTGGAGTCGACTTGAGGATGTGGGGACGATGCGACAGAAGACGAGCCACATGCAGTAGGCCCAGAGGGCTGCCGCGGCCACTGCCAAGAAAGTGTAAATGCAGATATACCGCGCCAGCTGCCCAAACGGGGTTTTTATATTCATCTCCGCCCAACACTGAACCCAGAGACCTGCAGAAATAGATTAGTGGGAGACGGAATGTGCATCCTCGCTTCAGGTGTACTCACTTGTGAATTGCGCACTGAAGAGACCAACAACCAGCGCTCCTGCATAAAGCACCATTGACCACCCGCCCAACCGACGTGCGAAAACAGTAAGCATAGTCGTGCAAGTCTCCTCTATGACGTGCTAAGACGTCGTCAGAGTCTATAGGATTGCTGGACCGGGGTTTCTGTTGGTCTAGATCCAAATTCCTTTGTTGAAGGGATCTGTCTTTGACTTCTTTCTGCATAACGTCGTCACTCAATTTTCAGAGAGTCCGAGGAGGTCCTTGCTCAACAATTGCTCCTTGGTCCATGAACACTACATGATCAGCGTGAGCTAGATGACTTCACTCATGTGTCGCCAGTATCACTGCAACTCCGTTGCGACGTAAGATACTGTATCGTCAGAGGCAAACACGCGGGCAAAGACTGAGCAGCGGTGGTAGTATCCAGGGCACTCAATGCATCATCAAAGATGGCTAGTTTGGTCCGCGCATACACTGCACGAGCAATACAACTCGCTACCGTTGTCCACCACTCATTGAGATTCCGTTGCTGTCAATTACCGTAAGGCTTTTCTCGGCCAGAGCATCGATGTCGCGATCGAGAGCTGTCGCGTGAAGGATAGTGCGGTACCACTCTTCTTCATACGGCAAAGAGTCGCAGATGTTGTCCCGAATCGAGCGGTTGCGGATCCATGTCTTCGTACCGCAATACGCGACGTTGGCAACATTGATGTAGATAAAGCCCTTGAGACAAGGCACTTCGCCGAGACATGCTTTCAGTCGTGTGCTTTTACCAGAGCCAACTAGTCCGGCGACCATTGTTAAGAATGAAGGAGAAATTTTGATGTTCACATTCGACAGTGTAGAGTCTGATGTGCTTGTCCAGCCGAAGTCCGCGTCAGACGCATGAACTAGATTGGCCGTGGAAACACTACACACAACTATCGAGAGCTGATGCATGACGCGCGACTACTAGGTCTAGTCCGAGCTCTAAGGAGGGAACATCAGATCCTAGCTACGAGTACCCACCGATGGCCAGCGAGACGTATGCATTAGTCTTGCTTTACATTATATTTACAGCACACGCCAGTATAACCATTTTGAATGCGATATATAGCTAAGGATGGTTCAGGACTTTAAGTAAGATGTTCTCAAATAACATACCTTGGAACAGGTTTATGTTATCTCAGATAGGGTCGGGTCCCAGACAAGTTCGCAAGGCAATGCACAGTGTACGGGCGGGCTCGACCTGCTGCGGCCAACCGCACCGGCTGTCATTGCATCTGCGGGGCTGCCGCTAATCATCCAATCTGGCTTCCAACTCTGCGGGGTTGACCATATGCACTCATAGATACTGTAAATATTCACTCATAGTTTTACCTGACAATTCTTCCTTGGTGCATGTCATGAACCACCGAGGTGATGTCATGGCTGCCTTGGCAGCTCCTGGCTCAGCCACATGGCGAGGTCGGCCTTAGGCTGCGCCACAGTGGTTACCATGGTTCGGTCCGGAAGGCGCCTCCGTCCCCTCTCGTCATCGCAAAACGTTCGCAGCATTGAAGATGATTCTTCCTTCCACTCCCCTCCTCCCCGCTCCTCTCATAACTTACTTGCTATTTGCAGCTTCAAGGTGAATCTTTCTTGTTCCATCACATCATAGTCAAGTCAACTATTTCCAGACGATCAGCTATCGGGCAGATAACAATGTCCTACCCCTACCACCAGCCACCGGTGATGCACAGCCAAGGCCCACCAGCCCAGTGGGACTACAATCAAGGACAAGGTCATCCAACACCTTACCCCGGACCGCACGGTGCATATGGCCAACAACCATCGGCGCCAGGTTGGCTGCCGCCGTCAGGAGGAGCTCAGCAGCACGGATACCCCGCCAACAACAACTATCAATATCCACCTCCACCTCCACAGCAGCAAGGGTACGGCCCCCCTCCCGCCTTTCCATCGCTCGGCTATGCGCCCGGCCAAATGGCCCCCGGGGATTTTCGTCGCGAAGCCGACGCCCTGCGCAAGGCGATGAAAGGCTTCGGGACGGACGAGAAGGGCCTAATTGCCGTGCTGGCCCGGCTAGATCCGCTGCAGGTCGCCGCCGTCCGCGCCACGTACCAGTCCCACATCCGCCGGGACCTCTATGCCGACGTCAAGTCCGAGACGAGCGGCTATTTCCGCCAAGGGCTTCTCGCCATCATCGACGGCCCCCTGGCCCACGACACGGCGCTCGCCCGTGAAGCCGTGCAAGGAATCGGCACCAAGGAATGGCTCCTGAACGAGGTCCTCCTCGGCCGCTCGAACGCCGATATCCGTGCCATTCAAGCCGCCTACGAACGCACCTATCGCGGTCGCTCGCTCCAGCAAGACGTCGCCGACGACCTCTCCTTCAAGACCAAAACTCTCTTCACCGCCGTGCTGCGCGCTGCGCGCCACGAGGAAAGCATGCCCGTCGACTACCGCCTCATCGAGAGCGAAGCCCAGAACCTCCACGGCGCCACGGCCGCCCGCATCGTCAACAACGCGGACGAGGTCACCGCCCTCTTTGCGCGTAGCTCCGACAACGAACTCCGCGCGCTCAACCAGGCCTTTGCCAGTCGATACCATCTCTCGCTGGAATCGCACATCGAGAAGGAGTTCTCCGGGCACATGAAGGACGCGCTGCTGTACATGCTCCGGACGGCCTTGGATCCGGCGATGCGCGACGCGGTCTTGCTGGAAGAGGCCATGAAAGGGATGGGGACAAAGGACAACCAGCTGGTGATCCGTGTGGTGCGCCTCCACTGGAATCGCCAACACATGGAAACCGTCAAGCGCGCTTACCACCACCGCTTTCGCACTGATCTAATCCAGCGTGTGAAGGGGGAGACAAGCGGGGACTATCAGAGGTTGCTTGTGGCTATGCTGGAATAGCGGCTGCGGCTGACACGTTGTCAGGCTTTTCCTTTCGTTGATCACTTCGTCAAGTCTCACAGTTTTCTGGGCTGCACTGGCGTTTTTTTTCTGTGGATTCTATGGTGCTACTATACCCTCTGTTACCCGGATTGGTACGAGATGATGCTCTGTGGTTTTTGCTTTGCTGTTACATTCGTTTCTTAGCTTTGTCGCCTATCCAGATCGTTCTAATCGATCAAAATCATAACACTCACAACTTCTCTTCATGGTTCCTTGGGAGCTCATCCATTCATCTCGACTAACCTAGTACTGCAATAGTCTCATCGACTATTGAGTCCGGGCCCTTCCAGTCTACCGGTACAAGCAGCAGGCTTCTCGAGCTAGCCCATAGCTGCCACACTTAGATTGGTTGAGAATAACGGGAAAGGTACACTCTAGGAGAATGAGCATGAGGATACTCGAGGAGGTATAACCTCTATATGCAGCTCCATGCGCTGTATCAAAGACTAGGAGTATTACCAGGTTAGCTGTTGAACAAACGCCCCTTTTCCGCTGCTACATTTATATGTTGGAGATTCGAGCATATCACCGCTTGAAGTAGTCAGGTATACATATACATTCCTGCGTTGATCTCTACACAATCTCATCAGAAAGCATCGATTCAAGAAGAAATTTTGAAACTAATATCTAATCTTGGTTTCGGATAGACTGAAAGCCCAAGGCGGCAAGCAGCTCGGGGCAGAATCCGCGAGAACTCCGGAGGATCGCCGGGCCACGCACTCGGATCCGGATCCAAGCTTCCCGACTGGCTCGATCCGCCCCACAGGCCTTGGCAGCCGGCCAGATCCCGGATTTCGCCCGAGAGGAGTAGATACGTGTAAGTTACTGGTTGTAGCAGCATATCACCACACGTGGCCCATTGAGAACCAATTTCCGGACTGCCAGTCCAGACATACCGACTTACAGCGGAGTTGATACAGATACAGTCAGCTATGGCCAAATCTCTCTACGCCATTGTCGCCGACCTAGATAAGTATGTGGATCTTCCTGCACGCATCGCAAGAACCACGAGGATGGATTATTGATCGAACTGCACTGCACCACCCAGCGTCCCGTACAGTGATACCGAGCCAGCGCTGCACGCTGATATCCTCGACAAATATCATGCGTTGCGCGTCGAGGGCATCGATGCGGATCTGGGATTCATCCCCACGACCCTGGTGCGGCGCATTCCCTGGCCGGAAAGGCACTGGGTGGTTGTCGAACATCCCCGCGCAGTCGTTCTCATGACGCCTCCCGAGACACCTGCCTCTTGTTCTCTCCGGATGCAGATTCTGGAAGCTGTGGTCCACCGGATGATCGAGGCTGGACTCACCGGTATCCGGGACGGCTGGCGCGATGAGCGGTTTGCGGTCGACGGGCCGGACGGCGACGTGGTTCTGGAGGTTGAGCGGTCGGCTAGTGCGTATTTCGGCGTGGTGACCGGCGGGGTGCAGATGCTGGGGTATGTCATCGACGATGACGATGAGGGTGGGCGTGGTCGAATCCGACTGTGGATAGCGAAACGCTCGATGAGCAAGCAGACCTATCCGGGGATGCTGGACTGCACTGCGGCCGGGGCCCTGACTGTTGGGCAGACGCCGCGCAGTACGGTCATGTTGGAGGCTGCGGAGGAGGCGTCGATTCCCAGGATGGTTCTGGAGAAGGGCCTGCGACGCAGCGGATGTATTTCGTATTTCCATGCCAAAGGTCTCGGGCCACAATTCGAGGGGGATGACGACTCGGCGGTGCTGCTCTTGCCCGAGGTGGAATACCTCTATGAGCTTCAACTGGACTCCGGGACGGTGCCTCGGCCAAAGGATGGAGAAGTGGAGGACTTTCGGCTTTGGGATGTGGACCAAGTGCTCGACGCGTTGCGGAGAGGACTGTTCAAGCCGAATAGCGCGGTCGCTATCATCGACTTCCTCATTCGACATGGTTTGATCAGTCGAGAGATAGAGCCACGGTATGGCGAGATAGTGACGAGACTGCATCGACGGCTGCCATTGCCGTGGCGCCAAACTTGGGATGACTAGGATGTGTTCCTGGGTGGTAGCTTGTATGGTCCTCAACCTTTGCTACGCATAGTATATTATTATGAGGATATTCGATCCGAGAGGAAGACTCTGTCGCTCTTCTAGAAATATCAAAAACCTGCCGAAGAAAGTGCTTGGTTGGAGCACATAGCTTAGTCTAACAGGTGAAAAAGACTCAGTCATTGTGACTGGATTAGTAACAATCCTGCGAACGGCACCGAGTTGACGTATATGAAACTCATCAGGTGTAATTTCAATAAGCACATCTCTATGAGCAGAGTGTGTAATATGTATTCAGAGAAAGTAATCTATACTCTAAGCAAAAGCTCTAGGTGGCATGACCAGGTAGAAGAGTAACCTGAAGAGAACAAGGACAGAGGAGTCGAAGCAGAGATACCCTGGTGGTACATTTGCATACAGCAGTTCCATGAAGAAGAAAAACCAATCAAAAATAAAAAAGCGATTCGAGGAAGAGATTCAAGGAGAGTCAGGAAGGTAATAAATAAATGAGTCGAGTATATGAAGTGAGTCTAGACGACAAAGGTAGGGGGTGGTATATCGGGGCTTTGCTGTAGGGAATGTGGCAAGTCATCCACAAAGACATTCTAAGGCAGCGGTCGGTGCAAACGATAGGCAGTGGTGTAGCAGTAAAAAGCACCGCATGAAGTTATAGCAAGCAAATTACGCCTTCTTGGCTTTGCCAGCCGACTTCGGAACTCTGGCCAACCAGTAAATCCCCACCGCGGCCGCAATGTTGAAGATGATGTACACCCACATGAGCCCAAAGTTCCGCCACGCGTCGGAGAAATAGCTGGAGACGGATGCGAGGAACGTGTCCGTGCTGCTGATGGTACAGAACTGGCAGTTCGACGTTGCCGATGGATCTTCCAGGTACCCACCCGCGACGCTGATGTAGGCCTTCATGTAGCTCTCACACGTCTGATTGTTTGGGGGGTTGAAAGTCAAATACTCGACGGACTCGCAAACCGCCTTTGTTCCAGAGATACCCGTACTCAGCATCGCTGAGACCAAATATGTGAAAGGCGATACACGGTACATAAAGATCCAGAATCCTGGCATCGCCTCCGGGGTAGCCAAGACACCGCAGAAGATCAAGCAGAGAGAGAAGAGAAGCGTCGCGATATTACCACCAGTCTCGGCCAATTCGATGCCGGCGATGACCATGTGAGCGAATGTGGACGTGAAGAGGAGAAAGACCCAGATCAGAAGGAACATGAGCGCCGAGCGCTCGTTCACTGCGTGCGTGGGCTTGGCGTTGTTGTACAAGCCAATGGGATAATACCAACAAACGAACATCAGGACCGCCATCAAGGTGTTCCATGGCAATTCGACCAAAATGTTGGCAGTCATGAATGCCTGCCAGGAATAGGCCTTGGAGGGCCGTTCACGGACTTCATACAGCGAACGTTGGGTACAGAAGAGCGGCATGATCTGCTGACAGAGGTTGCCAAAAATGGTCATCAGCATAAAGATGGAGAACATCTGGTTCTGCATGCCTTGGATCGAGTTGCTCGCATGGAAGAAGGAGAAACCGATGTAAAGAGCGGTCAAGACAGACAGAGCAGTTTTACTCCAAATATAGGTCGGGGTGCGGTAGTACTGCGCAAACACCCGAACCAGGCATTCGTAAAGTTGGATATGGAATGGTGCGGCGAATTCCTTCAGGGCTTCCGGATCGGACTCATCCTTGGGCTTGGCAGATAGGGTTGACCGGAGCTCAGATAGGTGTTGCTTCACTCCTGTGTACTCCGGAGACTCTCTCCACACCTTGTGCCAATCGATATCGGTCTTGGACCCGGGGGCTGCGCCAATGACGTCAAGCATCCATTCGGCAGGATTTTCTCCATTCTTCAAGGTGTGAGCTCCGTTCCTCTCAAAATAGTTGGATAATGTCGTCGAGTTTTCACCGATGTCGCCAAAGTAAATGGTCTTACCCCCCTTTGCTAGAAACAGAAGGCGATCAAACCGCTGGAACAACATGGCGGACGGTTGATGAATGGTGCAAAGAATCGCTTGTCCATGCTGAGTCAAAGTATCGATAAGGTCCAGAATCGACCATGAAGTCTGACTATCGAGGCCGGAAGTCGGTTCATCAAGGAAGAGCAAGAGCTGAGGCTTGGCCGCCAGCTCAACACCAATAGTCAAACGTTTACGCTGCTCGACGTTCAAGCCCTCGCCAGGAACACCGACAACTGCATCGGCGTAGGCCTCCATACCGAGAAGCTTGATAACCTCGTCCACATAGTCTAGCTTCTCCTTCCGGCTAAGGTGGGCTGGCTGGCGTAGCAAAGCACTAAACTGAAGTGCCTCACGAACAGTCGACGTAGGTAAGTGCACATCCTGCTGCTGGACATAGCCAGTCTTTCTTTGGAATGATTGATCGCGGGGCCTTCCGTCAACCAGCATGTCGCCGGTAACAACACCCATCGTGACTCGAGTGGCCAACACGTCCAACAAGGTAGTCTTTCCTGCTCCGGAGACACCCATCAGAGCCGTGCAAGTTCCAGGCTTCACCCAGCCATCCACATGGTCCAGAATCCGCCGGTCTTCGCCTTTGATGGTGATATCATAGCACACATCCTCCCAGTGGAAGATCGCGGTTTGCCTCTGAATGCGAACGCCTTCTTGGTCACCGCTGGTCTCGGTCTTCACAGCACCACCGGGCCTGGGCTGGATCTCGACGTCTCCTTCTGTAGGAAGGGTAGACTGATGGCCTCGACGGAACAACAGCACCTCTCCCTTGGATTTCTGCTCCGAGATGTATTCGGTGCTGACCAGGTAAACAAAGGCGAAGAAAGCCATGAATGCAATGAGGATTCCCAGGTTGCGCCATGCATGCCCAGTGGTATACTGGTAACTCTGCTTGAGGTACAGTGATCCATCCACGACTGTTGATCCAGCTTGGGCACCGACGGTGGAACAGATGCGATAATCCATGGACACTGAGTCATATTGTGAACCAGACGGAACGATACTCGAGCATTCGAAAGTGCGACCGGAAAACTCGTTAATGAGGAATGATTCGAAGGCGTAGGCCACTGGGTTGATATAGTTCATCCAGCGAGACCAGCCGAGCATGTTTCGAGTGGGAATGACGAATCCAGTGTAAATCACCATGCCAAGAATAAGCAGGGCAGCGGGTACCAAGGCTTGCGAGAGTGAACGAGATGTCGCAGCGATCGTTCTGAAAACCATACTCATGGTGTAGGTGGTCACCACGGAGAATAACCAGAACGTGAAGACCGCTCCTGCATCCCGACGCAGATTGGTCATGAAATACAGAGGTAGATTGAAGGTGATCGAGTTCAGCAGCTTGTAGGGAGTATCGCACAGCATGGAAGCTACTGCTTCCGCGAATGGGTGATAAAATGCATATCGTGCCTGTTTCTCAACAATCGGACGTTGCGCATAGAGTGTAAGGATTTCGAGGGCACTGGAAAATGCGTTGAGGAGGACTGCATAGAATAACAATGCTCCGCGTGAGTAGAAGCTCGAGGTGTTGTTGGGAAGGTTGAAGAAAACGGATGCGACGATCAAGGCGATGATGAAATTGCCGATTAAGCCAGAGAGAGTCAAGCTCATGTCGCCTTTGAGTCTCTGGAAACCCCGGGTCGTACAGAGAGAGATTTGATCCCAGACTGAGATGGTATACGGGGATTTCAGGCGTTGATGCTTTGCCTGCATCGCCCGTCGCGCATCCACAAAGGCTTCGTATGAAGAGCCTTTGAGAGGGTATTGACTTTCAAACTCATCAATCTCTCTCAAGAGTTTGGCTCTCGCACTACTTTGTTTCCAGGCAGCCGCAAATTCGTCCGGAGTGCGAGGGACACGATTCTCGAAGCCCGGCCGAACCTGTCGTTCTGAGGGCGAAGTCAGGGATGTAAGGAAATCAGCCGTGGTTTGCCGGTCAGGACACTCAAAACCCATGTCAACAAAGAATTGCTTGGCTTCTGAGGTCGGTCCAAAATAGATTTGCCTTCCTTCATACAGCACGGTTACCTTTTGGAAAACGTCGTATGCGCTTTGAGAGGCTTGGTAAATAGCAACACACGCTGTGGTGCCAGTATACTTGCTCATCAAGGCCAGATTCTTACAGAATTCGAGAGCATTCGCGGAATCAAGACCTCTAGTGCTGTTATCCCATGCTTGGAGTGGTGCTTGGCTCAACATAGCCTCTGCGATACTGACACGCTTTCTCTCACCACCACTAACTCCACGCACGAAATCGTTACCGACACGGGTGTTGATCGTGTGGGAAAGACCAAGCATCGCCATGACCACGTCTCTCATATGCTCAGCGTATTGTTGTCGGCTGACACCTTCGAGGCGATTTCGGGGAGCCCTGGCCAATGCGGCAAATTGGAGCGTGTCACCAACAGTCAGCTGCGGGAAGTGAACATCTGTCTCCGCGTTGTAGAGGGCTTCGCCTCGGAAGGCGTTGTGCATCTCCTTCGCAGGGATACCTAAAGGGAAGCACCCACTGTAAGCACTCATGGGGTCACCAGACGAGTGCTGCGAGGAGGGAACTTACCCTGGTAGTTGAGCATCGATTCCTCCGACATCTCGATACCATTCATCTCCCCAGAGATCGTCTTGAGGAAGGTCGTGCACCCCGAGCCGGGTCTGCCAAGTACAATGAGCATCTCTCCTGACTTGACAAGCCCATCAAACTCGCGCAAAATATGGATCTTCTGCATCTTGGCACCCATCAGCTTTCGAATAAGGGTACCAAATTCCAGAAGTGAATTGAGAACGTCTTTCTGGTAGTCAGTGGGCGAGCCGTAACCGTGTACACTCAAGTTCTTGAAAGCCACGCCTGCAGTCCTGTCCGGGTAGCGCTCAGGATCACGCGTGCGAATGGCGAGGAGCATCTTAATCCAATCTCTGACTTGGAAATTGGGACTGTGTGGATTCAGCTTCGATTCCGGGTCAGTGGTGACAAAGGGGTTCTCAAGGTCGGCCTTGGTTGAGTAGCGAGTGGACTGTCGAGTAAGCCGGCGTGCGAGATCACCCACACGAGCCTCCATCTTGTCTTCCCGTCCTTGAAGCGTCGCATCATCTTCGCTGGCTTCCTGGTCAAACTCCTTTGGTCCCGAAGCTGGATCGTCATGGTAGGCTGCCCCGCCATTTTGCGGCAGGTTGTGGCTGACCACCTCTTGCGCCCGCCCGGCGTTAGTGCTAGTAGTAGGAACGAACGACATATTAAGAGGGGATTGTGTTCACAAATATCTTAGCATGAATCGAGTAAGCTTGAAAACAATAAAAGAGGCGAAGACAAAGTAAAGGGTGCCTGGCAGTGTGGTGCAGGCCCTTGACGTCCGATCAGCCTACGGAAGGCGCTGGGTCCTTCCAAGGCTTCTAGATTGACAGAAAAGAAACTTTGGGTCACAAACACCGAAAAACCGCTTGAAAGACACCAAATCCAGAGCAGAGGTGAGGAGTCTGCGAAGGTTGTGCTAGATATACATAGTTGATGGACCGCGCGGATTCTAGAACGACCCGCTTGCGGAGCGTTGAGAATCCGATCGTATTTGCTCATCGTGCAGGGCGAACACCCGGGGGGCCGAACGAGATTGTATAAGCAAGACATAAATGATTCAAATTGTGACACATGTTGCAAATGAGAAGTACCAGCTAGGCGTCAGCAGTGAGTGTCCGGCATCCGAGCCAACCAAAGCGTGTAAGACCCAGAGTTAGGGGGGTGGAGACCAGTCCCTGAGCCCGAGTCAAAAATTGAGTGAACGTCCGGGAGCCGAAAGAAGCGTGGATGGATCTAGTTGGACCCACGGAGCCATTATCAAAAGTCAATCAATGGGCTGAATTCTCGGTGTGTTGGGAGTCCGTAGTTGATGTACTGTAAGTCAGACTAACAACAACACCATAACCCACCATCACTGAGGCGGCCTTTGCGAGCAGTTCTGTATCAGGGAAAAGATGCAGAGCATGATGGATGTGGTCAAAGCGCTGTCCGAAGGCGAATCTGATGGAATGCCCAGGCTGGGATGAGAATAGAGATGAGAAGATGAGGGGATGAGGGATGAGGGATGAGGGACGAGGGACGAGGCAAGTGGAGAAGCAACAGATGATCGGCAGGCTAACGGTCCGGAGAAGCTGCTGTATTGTTACATCTTCAATACCCACCGCCCTCACGATTCTGCCCAACATCCGGCCTCCGAAGACCCGAATAGAGCTTAGCCCATTAATGTTAGCCCGGTCCTATTGGACAGATCTCTCTTGGCGCAGACGTTGTCCGTGGTACGTGAAACTTTCCGGTACGGATTATACGCAGCTCTCCATCCTGTCCAGCCATCAGGGGTATTCAAGGTATTAAAGCTGATAGAGGTGGAGTCAAGTTGATTGAGCCTACACTTACCTCGTAGCCACGTACTGTAACTCAATAAGGTAGTTAGCCAGTCCAGTGACCGTGGACTGTCATTCCTGCTACCTTCTCCAAACCATGCTCAACGCACACCATGACCGGCCTTCCTCCTCTTCCTCTTCTTCATCATCATCATCATCCATGTCCAACACGCGAGGGTCGCCTCTCTCGCAGTCACGCCACGAACATAATGACATCCTCAAAAGGCGGAAGGTATGCGTGATCATGATTCATAACTAGCTATCGTATATTCTGATAGACGACGAACCAGGCGTGTGAAGCATGTCGCCGCAGCAAAACCAAATGCGATTCCTCGATGAACTCCAGGTGCTCCCGCTGCGAGAAGATGGGTATCTCGTGCACTAGAAACGAGCAGAGATATAGAACCATCCTGCGACGGTGGGTGAGCCCCACGCATCATCTGCCAGGGAAATTCATCCACTAATTGGTCTTATGAAGAGAGGCAATGATCAACCACCTCGAAGGAAAGCTAGAGAAACTCGAGACCCATCTCAGTAGCATATTCGGTGCGGGAGAGATCAGTTCTATGCCAGACACGCCTCCTGATGACACCAATCCACCTGTTTCGGCACCCAACCATCTCGGGTTCGATCCTCTGGAGGATTTAGATATTGAAGACTTTTTGGGTCAACAGGAGCCAGTCTCTGCAAGCATACCCTCAGAGAGTGTTGTTCGTCCCGTGCGCGTTGAGAGCGGACTGGGTCTGCATCAAGAGAAACCCCCGTGCTTTTACATCCCAAGGTGTATAAGCAACACAGGTGCGGGATGTAAGTCAGACCACCACCTGAGATGCATCCTTCGTCTGACTTTGGCACAGGTTTCTCGGTCTTAACAAATGAAGGGTTAGACTGGATATCACAAAGAGCGGATTCGAGTCATCTTGATCATCTTCTAGGGAGTGTGGCCTCCGAACCTCAGTTAAGCTCCTTGTTGCCACCCAGAAAGCTATTTTGCCCGTTCCCACGGGCAGAGCTTTTGAAGCAACTCCTACATGACTACATGGAGTACTTCAACCTTACCCTGCCGGTATTCACTCAGGCAGACGTTGACGCTCTGTTTGCTGGCAACTACACGGATCCGCAGGTGCACGGCCCAGGCCAGTGGGCCAGCCTTCATGTCATCTTGGCTGTCGCCTACATGCTTCCATCCACAACAGGTCGGCCTGATCATCAGACTAGCGCGCTCTTTATGAAGGGTGCCTTGCAGGCCATTAATGAGATTCTACTAGCACCCCCTGATCTCTGGGCATGCAAATCTACATTAGTGATGGCTGTTTTGTTCTTGTCATTGTCTGCTGCTCACCCTTGCAGTTCGCTCATTGCCATTTCTGTGCAAATCTGCAACCAATTAGATCTAGGCAATTCGGAAGCCCTGCGATGTTCTGTCGAAGAAAGGCAGAGTCGAGATTTGCTCTTCTGGATGGTCTGTGCAATGGATAATGAGTATGTGCGACAAGGCCTCTACTGTTGGTGGCTGTTCTGACTGTTACAGGATATCTTATCGATTCGGGGTTCCCCCAGCACAGAAAGAAGACATAGTTGGGGAGGCGTTGCATATCAGTTCTCCCTCAAGCGCTTACAGCGTACCAATACGGAACGACTCGGATACCTTCAATCTCTTCCATCCCACTGCCGAGCTTGTGCAAATCAGGAGCCAGATTGTTCGACAGTTGTATCTAGCCTCCGCGGTCAACAAACCTTTCGACCAGTTACTGGCTCTGACGGGTGATTTCGACCAAAAGCTGCAGGCGTGGTTGCGCAAACTTCCTCGCGAACTGCAGCCTGGGTCCGGAGCATCCCCACCATTCCGAAAAATGCCCGTGTTCCCGACTCTTCTGTTTATTCATTATGCCTATTATGACTGTATGATTGCTATCCACTCTTTGGTGGCCATGAGAGAAGTCAACACCGCGCAGGATCTTCTTGGCGGGCTCAGCCTTTCCGCCTCACCCGGATTTGCCGACAACCCTCGGGTCCTGCTTTCCACGTCGCTCATGTCTAAGGCTGCAAGAGCATCCCTCGCCTTGTTGAAATACTTACCACGGGATGATATCAATCTCGGGTGAGACCAAGCTGCTTCTCTCAAGATCCCACAGTTTCTGACTTATCATCAGTATCGCCTATCACTACCCTTCTGTCGCGATGAAAACGCTCGCTTCAAGCATTATACGCAACCCGCGGCCCGCCTCGGAGATATATAACCTGAAAATTCTCCACCAAGCAGAATCGTATTTATCGCAAACTGCACGCGATTCGACCCAAGAAGCAATCCGGCGCTTGTCCAAGGCTTGCGCGGACTGCTGCGCGGTCGCTCAACGGGCCATCGATGCTGCATAATTCGCCTTCAATGCTGTTCCATACGGTAACCAACGAATACTCTCCAGGCAACATCAAGGCTCGAGTTTTAACTCGGTCTGTCCCAAGCTGATACAAATCCCGACCGTAGAGACTCATCGTGTCCTTGATCTACCGGCAAGAAATACATCAAGCCGGAACAATGAACACATACACGAGCGCACAATTTCTGGCTCAGTCAACAAACCTACCGCTGGCATCATCTCACTCTATCCCTTGACGAGAAAAATAGACGACCATCAATCACCGGGCGCAAGGGGGTCACTGACACCAGATGTTTTAATGGCTGCGTCTCAGCTCCACATGCCAGGGACGGCGTCTGCCTAGCTTTAAGCTTCTTCCTCGTTTCCTGCTCCTCGTCCGGCGAGGGTAAATCCCCTGGCACAACAGCGAGCATAAAAACGCTCCCAGGTCCCGTCTTCAGAATGCGTCCTGATTTACTTCCTTTCCCACCGAGTCATACGAAGCCACCAAAATGAAATTCACACTTTCTGCCTTTCTTCTCCTCGCCGCCGTGGCTACGGCCGAGTCTGTCCTCGACTACAGTGACGGCATCCCTCTCTGCTGCAGCAACACCGACAAGATCGAGGAAGCGGGCGACGACGTCATCCAGCAAGTGACGAGTGCTTTTGTCGGAGCGGGCGGCGGTGCTTGGGATCTGGGTGATCGGGTTGCGGGTGAATGTACGAGTTCTCACTGTGGCAAGGGATGAGATTGGATCAGATCACTTACAAACCGACTAGGCATCCCCGCCTTTCCCACGGACTGGAGCTACGAGCGCGAGAACTGTACGGACGGGTTGAAGCCGGTCTATTGCAAGAAGCACGCTCACTGGACTGTAAGTTTAATCTCCTCTACTGCTTTGGGGGGTGATAGCTATTGGATCCTAACTGTTTCTCTCAGTTGACCCTGAACGGAACATCGGTCTCGAGGAACGTACACGGGCAGTGCCATCTGTAGGGGATATATTTGTACGGTGCTTGGCCGGGCCCTTGCATTGGAGGAATGTGAATAAGACACTTACAAATATCACGAGATATGAGACTCTCAAATTGACTTGCACTGTGGAAAGTCAGGGCCTCCACACTGTTGTGAAATGGTCATGTAGATTTTCGGCTGTCAGTGGGATGCAAGACAAATAGCAGCTTGTTTACGGAGCAGTCACGACCCTAGTTCTGTTCTCGTCATCACCTTTGCTCTCACATCCGAAGGACCCCTTTGGTGTGCCCCTTGCCTAGCCGATGATTCTTGGCGAATTTTCCAGTACGAGGTAAAATACAGAACCTCCCTGATCATGGATTGTTGACGGCGGCCGATAAAGGAGTCGCTGGCCAATCAGCGGCCGATCAGAGATAAGATAAGCAGGCCGACAGCGGATTCCATCGTCCAATCAGACCGGGTTCATTTAGCTATCAGATAAGCCCAGCATCCATGTCCGTAACTTATTTCCATCTGCTTTTCGTGACTGCAGTCGATGCAGTCGATGTTTAGGCTCTCTTATGTGTCTGTTTACGTCGCTTCCAATAAAGGATCAAGCATACTCAGGTGCTCACGGTTCTGTCAGGCGAGCGTCACGGTGATTCGCCCAGCCCAATTGCCGAATAGCCGATCTGACGCCAAGCAGCGATCTGCTTTGCGGGGGTGGGGTAAACTACCTACTAGGTAGTACTTACTCCAGTACAAGCCAGCGTTAAATACTCTCGCTCCCCCAGATGTCTTTCTCATTGGCAACACCAGCCTCCTGTCTCGGGAGTGACTGCACCTACTCAGCATCGAGTATAATACGCTATGTCGGTCGCACACTCTACTAGACCAGTCCCACCCTACCAGCCCTTCCAATGTTCCATCTGTCAGAGCCGCTTCACCAGACATGAAAACCTCAAGCGCCATGCTGCCCTGCACTCGCGTTCCTCGGGTGAAGTCTCGCTGGCCTGTGGCCATTGCAGCGCGACCTTCTCGCGTCCGGACTTGCGCAATCGGCATATGAAGCGGAAGCACCCCGAGCACCACGAGAGACGGACGGTCAAGAGAAGAGACTCGAGAATGGAAGCTGACCAGTCATGCTCGATTCATCAGCTCCAGCTGGCTGGCGACGAATACGAGACGGCGAGGGCGAGCCGACGTCGGCCCTCGGCACAATCTTTCCGGAGGAGTCCGAGTCACGCCGCGCTGGAGGAGGTTTTTGAACTCGACTGGAATTTATTACCAGAACCACCAGCTTTTGCCCATGCAGATTCTCCCACCTCCAGCAATAAATCACCCAGTGTATCGGACTCTCCGGCACGATCTCCATCAAATTCCTCGCTGCCCGTACAAGACGATTGGTTTCCGTCCGAGCTGCAGATCCGTCGGGGACGCGATCTCTTCTTCAACCATGTCTCCTGCTTTCTCCCATTTCTACACCAAGCAACCTTCGATACTACGCAGGTACCCGCGCATCTGATCCTGAGTATTCTCAGTCTTGCGTACCAATATGGTGACGATCCGGAACGAGAAGACGAATCCGGGTCTGGCGCCACCCTGTCGGTGCAATGCTTCCATCGTGCTCGTACCCTTATACCTAGCCACGAGAATGACACAGACGATACCACCGAGATCACTTCGCACCTGACCACCATCCAATCCTACCTCCTTCTTCAGATCTGTGCCATGATGTATCTCTGCGGCGAGAGCTCGACCCAGGGCCTCAAGATGCACACGGCGATGATCTCCCTCGCCCGATCCGCAGGCCTCATGCAACCAACCCCGACCACCTCTTTAGCGTCAACCTCCGACCTCGACTCCCTCTGGCGCGCCTTCATCCACGCCGAATCGCACAAGCGAACCATCTTCGCCGTCCACCAGATCGACGCCCTGTACTACCAACTCCTCTCCATCCCACGCTGCATCTCCCACCTGGAAATCAAGCACGACCTCCCCTGCCCCGAGAACCAGTGGTCCGCCTCGACGAGCGCGGAATGGGCCCATCTCCAACTCACCTCTCGCTCCACCACCACCGCCGAAACCCCCATGCTGCAGTATGCCGACGCAATCCGACATTTCCTCTCCCCAACCGCCGACGTCCAACCCATCGCCCCCTTTGACCCCTACGGCGCCATCAACATCGCGCAGTTCCTCATCTCCAGCGCCCGCGAGATCTCCGGTTGGTCCACGATGACGGGGATGTTGAGCATGGAGCGGTTCGGGGCGCTGCGCTCGTCCCTCGCGGCGCTGGGTCCGTACCTCCGTCCGGAGGATGATCTCGTTCCTACGGCAGAAAGCATGCCCAGAGCGACCAGTGTCCGCACCATCACCTGCGCCGCAACGTGGGAAACGGCCATGCTCGAGCTCCAGATGTGGTCTCCGTTGCACACGGGGGGCATCGTCGGGGCGAGCATCGACACGTGGCTGCAGCAGTCGACGCGGCTGGCGCCGACCTCGTGCGAGGTGCTGTGCGAGGTGGACACGGTGGTGCAGGCGGTGCAGCCGCACGTGGACTGGTTCCTGGGGTATTTGGACCGGTGCGAGGCCCTGCGGGCGGAGGCGCCGTGGGTGCTGCTGTACGCGTACCAGGCGTTCTTGGTGGCGTGGCAACTAGTACGGTGGGGGGTGCCGGGGGCGATGGGGGTGGTCGGGGTGGCAGATGGTGACGGGGAGGGGGCGCTGCACTGGGCCAGGACGGTGTTTGGGCGGCGTGAGCGGTGGCAGATAGGGCGGTTGATCGGAAGATGTCTGGACGAGCTGGGGAGGGGGTGTAGTTGAAACTGCCTTCCTGCCTTCAAACCTACTGCCTTCCCTCCCCCTCCCCCCTTAGCAGAACACAAGATCCTTCTAAACCAAACCTGTCATCAATTGAATATATACAACCTTTTACCCCACCTCAACCACCCCTCAAACCTCCAATCCATCCCCAAATCTAAGACCTCGCAACCTCCAACTCAGCAATATACCAATTCTGCACCGCCTTAGTATCCCCCGTCATAGCCACAGTATCATACATGCCCCTCGCCTCCTTGGCCAACGCCCCATTATTAACCATCCTGCCCACCCACTTCCCATACTTCCTCCCCGCCTCCACAATCTTATTAATCGCCTCCACAAACACCGGCTCATCCCCACGCGCAGGAACATACCCCAGCAGCGCCTGCGCGAGATCATTGGGCCCAATAAACACCAAATCCACCCCGGGCACCGCACAAATCTCCTCGACATTCTCGACCCCCTCCTTCGTCTCGATCTGCACCATCGTGATGATCGTCTCGTTGGCCGACACCATATACTCGGGGGTCGTCAGCCCGTGCCCGATAGCCGGGAACGCCGATCCCTGGCCCCGCACCCCGTAGGGGGGGAACTTCGAGGAGGCGACGACCTGCCGCGCCTCCTCGGCGGTGTTGATCTGCGGCACCATGATGCCGTGCGTGCCCGTGTCCAGCGCCCGCTTGAGGATGTCGTGCGCCGGACCCCGCACCCGGATGATCGGCGATACCCCCAGCGCCGAGATGGCGGCCACGCTGTTGTGCATCGCGTCGTCGGAGATGTGGCCGTGTTCGCAGTCGATGATGATCCCGTCGACTCCTGTCAGGGCCACGACTTGGGCCATGCGGACGGAGGGCAGCGCCATGAAGGTCATTACGGGGTAGTCCGAGGTGCGTAGTTTGTTGAGCAGGCGGAGCCGCGGGTTTTGGATCGTGGTGGTTTGGGCTGTGGGGGGCGATTTTTGGGTCATTTTGGTGGTTGTTGTGGTGGGTCTAGGGGGACTGGGGGAAAGAGAGGGGTGGTTGGTTGAGGAGGGTATTGATTGATTGACAGTTTTGAGTTTGAGGGTGAGTGTGAGTGAGAATGAGAAGGACTATGGTCAATCACGGCTGGGGTTAAATATCCAGGGACGGAAGTGAGGTGGGTTCAGATGGGCAGTGTTCGGGTGGATCTCCGGGTAATGCAGCTGTGCTTATCGGTGGGAGGAGCTCCGCATTTTAGGGCATGACAGATAAGGCGGGGGAGGAGGAGGAGGAGGAGGAGAAGGAGGAGCAGCACTCTTCTTCTTTCTCCTCCGCTCCTCCTCCCTTCTTATCTGCTATCTCCACACCACAACACAACTCACTGATACGGTCAATTGAGTGTGATCACTATCATGAATCCTCTCAATGGCTATGCATTGACCGACTGACATATAACTGCATCCATGCACAAGACAACACCAAAACAATGGCAGCCCCTCCCTCCCCAGCAGACACGCACAAACCCCCTGCCGCAGCTTCAACCCCCAACATGGATGCCCACAAACCCCCACCGTCCATCACGGACAAAGCCTCCTGCCACGAGGGTCAAGTCTCGCAGTACGATGAGCGCATGCCCGAGTCACTCCGCAACCTCAGCGAGGAGGAGCTGCGCGACCTGCAGCGCCGGCTCGTCCGCAAGGTCGACCTCCTGGTGCTACCCACCATCGGAATCCTCTACATCCTCAACTACATCGACCGGCAGAACCTGGCCTCAGCCAAGCTGCAAGGCATCACCGACGACCTGCACATGAGCTCGGAGCAGTTTGCCACTGCCGTCTCCATTCTGTTCGTCGGGTACCTCCCATTCCAGGTGCCCAGCAACATCCTGATCACGCGCATCTCACGGCCTGGGCTGTACATCTGCGTCGCCGTAGCTATCTGGGGTTGCATCTCCGCCGCCACGGCCGCAGTTAAGAACTACGGACAACTTCTCGCGGTGCGGGCGATCCTGGGCATCGCCGAGGCCGTCTTCTTCCCGGGGGCCATCTACTACCTCTCAGCCTGGTACACCAAGATCGAACTGGGCAAGCGCATCGCGGGGCTCTACATCGCGCAGCAGGTCGGCAACGCATTCGGGGGCCTCTTCGCGGCCGCCATCCTGCAGCTGGACGGGGTCCACAACATCGCCGGGTGGCAGTGGCTCTTCATCATCGAAGGCAGTGCGACCGTAGGCATCGGGCTACTGTGCGGGCTGATCATGCCGGAATTCCCGCACAACAGCCGGCTCCTCTCACCCTTGCAGCGCGATCTGGCCGTGTGGCGGATTGAGTCCGAAGCCGGCGCGGCGGAGGGCAACACGACCACCGAAAAAGAAAACCCACTCCAAGGCTTCCTGCACGCGCTATCCGACCCCAAGCTCATCCTACTCATCCTCGCCAACATGCTCTCGCAAACCCAAGGCTCCATCGCCAACTACTTCCCGACCCTCGTCTCCTCCCTCAATTTCTCCGAGACGGTCAGCCTGCTCCTGACGGCGCCGCCGTACATCCTGGCGGGCGCCGTCTACTACGGGATCATGTTCTACTCCGACCGGCGGAACACCGTCTACCCGCTGATCCTGGGGTGCATTGGGATTGCGATCGCGATGTACGTGATCCTGCTGGCGACGCTGAACATCGGCGCCCGCTACTTCGCCATGATGATCCTGCCGTTCGCCTCCGTCGGCCCCCAGCTCCTCCTCTACAAGACCATCAACCTGCACCTGGCGCGGCCGGTGGCCAAGCGCGCGGCGGCGTCGGCGCTGGTCAACGCCATCGGCGGGACCTCGAATATCTGGGCCTCGTACCTGTATTACTCGTCGCCGCATTTCTATGCGGCGTTCGGCACGCTGATGGGGGCGGCGGTGCTGCTGGCCGCGACGATGATGGCGTACCGGTGGTTGGTGCTGCGCGAGAATCGGCGGCTGGATTCCGGGGTGGACGAGGAGGTGCGCAAGGCGATGAAGGGGGGCGTCACGGAGGAGATGGTGCGCTTGGGGTGGCGGTATGAGATGTATTGATTTAGCTGTGCTGTGGGACTCCGCTGTTGGGTAGGGTTAGACAATGCGCGGTGTGTAAGGGCTGTATGTTCGCGGAGCATGTAGAATTGAGCGCTTTGCAGCGATGGCCTCGTAGCCCTAGCGCTCCTAGCTGATTGATTTTGTGACAAGTACAGTATACCACATTCACACACAGCCTCTCTACCCCCCCTCTCTCTCTCTCCCTTTCTCTCTCGCCCATCTGCGCAATCTTAACTCAATGTATAACCTAACCCCCCTTCGTTCTGGAGCGGAAGTAAACCATCCTACCAATACCCACAAAACAACCCTCACAAAGCTACCCCTAATCCCACTCTACGCTCTCAGCCCCTAGAACAATCCCACAACGTAAAACAAATCTATTCATCTAACCAGAAAAAGGCTCAAACCTGCGCAATACACTCAATCTCAATCACGGTCCCCTGCCCCGGCGCAACCGCCTGCAGACACGACCGCGAGGGCATCGGTGTCGGCAGGAAGTCGATGTACGCCTCGTTCATCGCCGCAAAGTCCTTCATGTCCGCCAGGTAGACGTTGTACTTGACGACTTGCTCCAGTGAGGAGCCGGCGAGCTCGAGGACTTCTTTGAGGTTTTGCAGGACTGTCCGCTGTTTTGGCCTTCCGTGTTAGACTGCTTTCCCTGTGGGTTGGGGAAGACGGGTGGATACTGACTGTGGCTTGCTTGATCTCGCCGGTGGCGGTTTGGCCGGCGCAGAAGACGAGGCCGGGGACTTTGACGGCTGGGCCTGCGGGGGATTAGTTTCCGGTAGGTATGGGTATTTTTAGGGGGGGAGGGGGGGGACGCACAGTTGTGAGGCTTGGGAGGGAACTTCTCGCTGGAGATGAGTTGGCGGGACATTTTGGTTGGGATGGGATGGATTCCGGGGATTGGTGGTTGTGGTTGTGGTTGTAATTGTACAAGATAGGGAGACAGTGGCGTTGTGTGAAGTTCAATCTGGTTGGTTAGGGCATGGGGATTATCTACTAGAGTTTATGGGGATTTAAATATCGAAGATTGGCGGCAGAGGTGGTGATGCTCCTCCCGGAGTGCCAAGCGGGAGGAGCTCCTCCCACCCGTGGAGAGCGCCCATTGCGATAGTCCTTATCATCGTCTTGGCGGGAGCTCTGCGGTTTGATAGAGGAGCTCAAGTTGAAAGGGCAGGGGGCTTACTGAGGAGCAGTTATCATTTTTCGTGATGCTGAGAGACAATGGTGGGCAAATGAATGGAATCTCGTATGACCACGGAGCACATCGTATACAGGATCCCGGCGTCCAACATCGCGCATATAAATGAACTCATCGCAATCGAGTCAACTTTTGTTCAATCAGTACAGTAAGAGAGACCTGAGAAACTACAACTCAAGATCAAAATGGCCCCAAGCGCCCCTTTCAATCCCCCTTCGCCTACACTCGCAGGCAAACCCTTCGTGCCCAGCTGGACTCCTCCCCCCGTCACCAAGGAGAAGCACAACTTCGCCGAGCTGAAATCCATTGATTTATCGCTGCTTGACTCGGAAGACCCCGCTGTCGTCAACGATCTGATTCAGCAGGTGAAAGTGGCCATCCGTGACGATGGCTTCCTATTCCTCGAGAACTACGGCGTCTCTTTGGAGCAGGTAAGGCATTACCCGGGGACAACCCAGCCCTAAATCGAAATGACGCTGACAAGATGATAATTTCCGCAGCTCCACCGCCAATTCGGCCTAGCACAATACCTCTACAATCACATCAGCGAGGAGGACAAGCAACGCCTGCTCTTCCACCCAGAAACCGGCGTCTGGTCCGGCTACAAGCACCCCTACGGCTTCAAAGTAGGTCCCCACCACCTTGACTCATCTCCACCCAAAGAAGAGAAAAAAGGCTCGAAACCTCGAAGCTGACCACCATCTAGCGCCACCGCGGCCCCGCCGACGGCATCGAGCAATTCAATTGGTACACGCCGGAATGGGCCTCGCCCTCGACGCGCGTGCCGCAATGCCTGCAGCCCTTCATGGACGAGATCGAAGCCTTCTGCACCTACCTCACGCAGTCCGTCAACCGCCGCCTCCTCACCCTGTTCTCGCGCGTGCTCGAGCTCCCCGACGACTTCCTCTGGGAGAAGGTGCAGTCGCACGGCAGCCCCACGGGCGAAGGCTACTTCCGGCACGCGCTGTTCCGGCCCGTGCAGAAGGAGACCCGCGACGCCTCCAAGGGGATCAAGATGCACGGCCACACGGACTTCGGGCTGACCACCCTCCTCTTCAGCGTGCCAATCTCGTGTCTGCAGATCTGGGGCCGCGACGAGCAGTGGTACTACGTGCCGTACCGGCCGGGCGCCCTGGTGGTCAACATCGGCGATACCCTGGAGATTGTCTCGGGCGGGCACTTCAAGGCCACGCGGCATCGCGTGTTCACCCCGCCAGCGGATCAGCTGGAGGAAGAGCGGTTGTCGTTGGTGCTGTTTAATAGTTCGGTCGGGGATTTGAGGATGGGGCCTGCTTTGGGTGAGTTTTTTCTGCCTGAGGGGTAGGTAAAAATGATGCTAATAGCCTCTGCACAGAATCACCTCTAATTCAGAGAGAGGGCTGCGTCGAGGAGCAAGGGGTCTACAAGGAGTTTCGCAACCTCACGGCGCAGGGGAAACTGGTCCCTACGAATCGCGAGTGGCGCGAGATTCAGATCGCCACGTGTACGGATCCCACGGACTCGGTGCGGAACTCGGTGGGTGCGGATCAGGTGCTGATCGAGGGGAAGATTATGCATCAGCGCGAGTATATGGGGGTCAAGGTGGTTTTGCCGGTGTGAATGGTGGGGCAAAAGGGTGTTCTTGGGTAGGAAGTGGGAGAGGGGATTATCACGGTGGAATCACTGGCTTATTGTGGCTTTTTCTTGTATTGTCTCAGAATGTTACTTGCGTGTTAAAACTATGGAATACGTTACAATTTAGTTCTGTGCGCACCAACGAAGCAGAGAGCCGAATATGTCGGGTTGATCTCATGGAAACTGAGTATAGCGGATTACTGTCTCCCTTTTCTGATACACTAGTACATCTTCCTGGTCCGCAAATATACAACCTACTGAAAGCTCCTTGGTGATTCAAGGCCAAAGTATATGCTTCATGGCTTACATGACTATAACTAGGTACAACTGAAGCCTTCATATGTCGGATCTTCTGAAAAGAGTTGTTTGTTGAGCCACTATTGAATGTTCAGCAAATGTCGAGATTTTGTGCTGATTTACAACTTAGCTAGACATGGGGGGTAATATCCCCGACGTTAGCCCTAACTCACAGTCTGAAGTATACCAGCCCGATCAACATCAAAAGCTCATGAAAACATAACTCCATCTTCTTTACTCACAGTCACGGTTCATACACCACCCCTAATCAACAGTCTAAACAAGAGCTGGGTCACTTCAACCCCCCCGCCACCAACAAGCTCTGCCCCGTCATATACCCCGTCGTCACCAACATCATGACCACATTAGCCACCTCCTCCGGCTTTCCTAGCCTCCCCACCGGAATGCCCTCGACCACCTCCTTGGGGATCGCCTCCGCACTGGCCACCATCCCCGTCTCCCCAATCATCGCCGGCGCCACGTCATTCACGCTGATATTGTACTCGGCCAACCGCGTCGCCAGATTCATCATCATCCCCGTCAGACCACCTTTTGAAGCGGCGTAGTCTATCCCCTCTTCATCAGCATTCACTCAACCCAAACAAGATAGTACGCAGACTCAGCATTCCAGATAGAGGCGAAAGACATACGACACCCATTAATCCCCCCACCTCTTGCCGCAATCGACGACATGAACACGATCCTTCCCCACCGCTGAGCCTTCATATGCTCGACCACCCCCTTGACCAGCACAAACGACGCCCGCAGGTTGACGGTCAACATGCGGTCGAACTCGTCCAGCGGGATGTCCCACACGTTCGGGATGCGGCGGCCGTACCCGGCGTTCGAAATCAGGATGTCCGGGCGCTGGCCGTGATACTCCTCGATCTCCGTGAAGAGGTGGTCGAGTTGCTCGGGACTGCTCACGTCGGCTTGGTGGGTGGAGATGCGCAGGGGGGTTGCGGTCGAGGTGGAGTGGAGGACGGCGACGAGCTGGTCGATGGCGGCTCGGTTGGTGGAGAAGGTCAGCGCGAGGTGGACCCCGTTCTGGGCGAGGCGACGGGTGCAGGCGCTTCCGATGCTTTGGAAGGGTAAGATGGTTGGTATTGAGATTGGATTTGGGGTTTGTGTTGGGAGGCTTACCCTCCTGATGCGCCGGTGATGAGGGCGAGCTTGCCTGTGATTTCGTTGAGGGACATTTTGGTTTGGGGGCGGGGATGGGTTGTAGTGATGCAATTCTGAAGGTGCGAAGGTCTTCTGTGAGATGGAATGGGATTTTATCATCGACCCGGTGTATGCTTTACTTGTAGAAGGCCATGATTATTGTGTTTTGTTGCTGTTTCTAATGCCAAGAATCTACCGAAAGATAGCAAGAGCTCCTCCCAGGGAGCTCCTCCCGCTGTCTCCAGCTGCCCATGGTGGTTTCACAACCCACTCGAATGAACTATCCTATCTTCTTTAGCTCGCAGTCAATATGATATCTTCTACCAGCGATGTCACATGACTTTCTGAATCTCGAAATAATCATCGGCAGGGATAAATGCCCTATTAGAGCACACGTTCGCATCCTTAAAGTAAACAACATACACGATCGAGTCCCACCAATATTTAGTTCTATTTGACGACCCTTATATACACTAGAACACATTTGTCCCAGGATACCTATTCCCTTTCAAGATTCTCGCATAACTAGCCAGCCCCCAAGACACTAATCAACCACCACCACATCATCCCCGGTAACCGAACAGTTGAACGGCAAATCCAGCGTCGGCCGCGTGTTCCCGGTCATCAGCGACGTACTGTAATTATACGTGGGGCTCAGCATCATAATCTGGCCCACGGTCGTGCCATACTCATCCGCCAGGTCCTTGTACACGCCGTACTCTAGCGTGAACGGCTTGATGCTGCACTGGCTGGGCTCGCACAGGGGCACCTTGATAAACTGCCCGACCTCCAGCAGGGCGTCGGCCGACGAGGCCTCGGCGGTGGAGGTGGAGGTGTTGCCCATCAGCGCGGCGGTGGAGATGTTCAGCCGCCGCGCGATGATGTCGTAGGTGTCGCCGTGGACGGTGTAGTAGAGGCGCGGTCCGCCGTTGATGCACAGCGCCGTGCGCGTGAGGTTGGGGATCAGGCAGGATTCGTTGTCCGGGGGGGAGGAGGCGCAGCTCAGGGGTGGGATGACGATGGTCTGCCCGATGTTGGGCGGGATGAGAGGGTCGGCCATCAGGTTGTGGCGCGCGATGTCGCAGAGGCTGCGGTTGGTGCGCGCGGCGATCTCGGGGATCGTGATGTTGGTGGTCACCGGGTAGAGGGTGTAGGGGTTGGTGCTGTTGGCGCAGTTAGGGCTAGGGGTGGCGGTTGTTGTTGTACCCAGGGAGAGGAGGGTGGTGAGGAGGGTCACGGAGGTGGATGGGAGAGAACGCATTGTGTTTTACTTGGTTTGGGGTTATGTGAAGAAGGGATTGTGGCTTGTAGAGAGAAGAGAAGAGGAGGCTTGAGACGAGCTGCTGCTGCTGCTGGAGGATCAACAGGCACAGAAGGGCCAATTTATACCCCGGCACCAACCTACTCAAGTACATGGTATCTCCCCTGTTGATGGAGACGCAGAGCTGACGAATCCTCCTCCCTAATTCGACGATCGACAGGAACGGTCTGCAACCCAGGCCTCAAGAGCTTGATACCCCTCACCCTTAGCGCACTTGGCTTTGTCAAGTCTCTACCTTGATAGTCCACCTCATTCGAGTGATCTGCATATCCAGCCTGGTTCATCTCGGCCTTAACTTGCGGGGAGGGTCCCCGTCTAAACCCTTTGGAGCTATTACCGCCGAGCTTGAGTTTCTGCAAGCCGCAACAGGGACGGAGGGTGGACCTGAGCTCCGAACCGTGAACCGAGGTCTGGCGTCTGGCTTCCTCGTTGCGGTGCTCCGGCGGCACTCATAATGAACATTCGTAACCCCTGGGATGCAAGTGACGGTGAATGGCTCTTTATGCGCCCGTGCGCGGTGAATGCTCACCTGGAACGCTTAGACTGCTACGTAGGTAACTGGGCACATGAGCTTTTTTCAGTAACCAGCGGAGGGACTAGTTTCAACCTGGGAGGAGAGTTGATTTCCACAGCAAAGAAAGGGACGGACCAACGAAACACTCCCCCAATTGGAGGCGATGCTTGGCAACTGGAAGAACCCTGCCCCTCCGAATTGCGGAGTCCCGAAGCCAGAAATAACGGAAGATCCATCTTCCGCGACTCCGCTGTCGGAGGAACAGAATGGCTCCAACCCCGCTTGTTGTTGCTGCTGCTGCTGCTGCTGCTGCTGCTGCTGCTGCTGCTGCTGCATGCATCATGCATTTCAAACCATAAACCAATCAGCCATACCCAGGCATCCAGCTAATTGCGGCTCCAAACTAATATCCACGACCCTGGCCAACTATATCCCTTTCCATTGGCCGATTCTTCTCATCACTATCTCGACACAAGTGCTACAGCCAAACACAGAGCAAACATGGCCACACCACCCACCACCGTGCTCCCAATCGACCTCATGGAGATGCAACTCTCGACCATCGACCTCCTCACGGCGATGTACGCCTCGCCCGAGGAACTCGAAATCCCCCCAGCCTCAGCCGAGTGCCTGGAGAAGCTGCGCGCCTGGTGCGAGGACCCCAACCCCACCAACGCACCACCACCCTCCGGCATCCCATCCAGCATCTCACTCTACGTCTCACTGCCCCTGGCAGACAGCGACAAGCGGTTCCAAGTCAACCTGACGATCCCGCTGCACTGCGCCGCCCAGCCCGACCCAAAACCGGACCACCAACCCCCACCGCCGACCTACTCGCTGCGCCCGGACTGGCTGTCCAGAGCCGAGATCACCAAGCTGGCGGCATCCATGCCCGCCGACGCAGACGTATTCGAGGCACTAACCTACATCCAAGAAGCGGCCGCGCGGCTCCTAGTCGAGGCCGAGGAAGTCCAGCAAGACGCCTCCTGCTCGACCAAATCCGAGTCTGGCGCGGCCACAGCCCGCGGCCCGCTGGTGCGCGTCTGGTTCTACTTCCCGTCGCTGTCGACGCGCGCGAAGCGCGACGACCTCGTGAACCATGCGCCCGAGTACGCGCTGACGGGGTTCGTGCTCGCGGGCAAACCCGGGGTGCTGTGTCTCGAGGGCGCGTCGGCGGATATCGATGCGTACATGAAGTTCATCAAGACGCACTCGTGGGGCGATATCCCCAGCCACCAGAAGAAGGTCAGCGAGCGGTTCCGCGAGACCGGCGCGGCGGTGCGGCGCGTGTTTGCGGGCATGGAGGAGATCACGGACTCGTTGGGGGAGCGCAGCGGGCAGCGGGCGAATCGTGGGGATATGCAGGCGCTTGAGCAGTGGCTTCATGCCAGGGGGTTGGGGGATGCGTTTGAGAAGGTTATCTTCTGAGTAGGTGGCGGTGGTGTGTGCTGGTACGTACTGTTGAGGGGAAAGCCATGGCTTGGGCTACGCTCGGTCGGCCTGGGGCTTTGTTTTGAATCGGGGCAGAGAAAGGCTGAGTACAAGCCATTTATCACGGTCGTAGGTTGTGAGCTTCTAGCCTGGGGCTGCCGTGGCGTCACTTTCGGTTTCCTTTGAGGTCCTTTGTCACCACAGGGGGATATGCATTCTTTGCATGGGTAAGGAACATCGGGAGTGGGGTAAGCCGTGGTATACTGTCCGTGCTGCAGGGAAAATGCAACCCTGGTGATCCCAGCTCTAGGCAATGGTTGGTGAATCCGACCGCAGCTACCCGTCCTTTATGCCCTGCGCTCGAGCAGATATCGATATCGAGGGCCTCTGTTGTGAACAGCGGCATTGAATTGGATGATGACGCGCATCTGTGGCTTAATTGCCTTAAGTCTTTCGTTAAGGGTCAAACCATTAAAGCTTATCACAACCATACAACAGGTGGTGACTCGAACGAATATCATATAGACACGATGAAACAGACAGACACAAATCCACTCGTGCATATTGGCATGCTTGTGAAGAAGAATATCTCCGCTCCCGAACGTTATAAACAATCCAAACTCGCTTGTCAAAAAGAAGAACCGCAACGCCCTTGTCATAATCCCAAGCTAGTACGCTTGTTGAGACACAGAGCGGAAACACGTTGAATCATGTACACAATGCGTGGCGATCATCAAAAGGCAAAGACGGCCGATGGTCTAGCGGCAGAGGAACTCTACAGTGGAGAAGTCAGCACTGCTGTCGTTGAGACCCAAATTTCAGACCCCCATGCTTGGCAGATAGGGACCCTGTCCAGCCCACCCGAACAGGCTGAGTTCGTCGATCATGTGCTGCACGATCACGTTACTCTCCATGCCCACCATCATATCCGTCTCGAACCCCGTGGGCAGGCCGCCAGGGATCGGAGGCGACTGCCATTGATCTGGGGCCTGGTACTGTTGCGAGAGCGGCATCATCGGTCCAGGGGGGCAGTGCATCGGGGGCGGCAGCGCCATGAGGCTGGGTGGTTCGGACGTGGCGACAGCCGGAGTGGGCAGCATGGGCCGCGGGGTCTCGTTGCTGGTCTTCTCCAGCCAGGTGAGGAGCTTGGCGATGGCCTTTTTGCAGCCCGCCCACAGATCATCGCCGAGCGAGAACCCTTCGATCTTGTGGACCGTGGCGAGCACCACCTCGTGCACGCTACGCGTGCCGAGATCCGTCGGCAGCTGGCTGTAGATGCCAAAGGACAAGCCCAGCTTGCACAGCAGGACGATGGCGTACCAGCAGGTCGTGTAGGACGAGATCGGCAGGTGGACTGCCACGGGCGATGGGGTCGCGAGGAAGGTGGCCGCCACGCGGTGGGCGGACGTGGCGAGCGCCTGCAGCTGGTTGATGTCGCGCAGGTAGAACGCGTCCTTCTGCCGGCGTAGGAAGTGCCCGAAAATGAGGGTGGGAAAGGCGTCTAGCTCCATGCGCAAGGCCCCTGGGTTGGTTAGAATAAGGAGGTCTTCTACTCGGATGCACGAACGATGCTCACAATTGTCCTGTAAATTATGACGCGATTTCAGTTCATCGACCTCTTTCTGGTTTCTCGCCACCGCCTCGAGGATCTGTTCCCAGGTCGCGTCTCGGCATTGGTCGGTGCAGTAGTTCAGCTCATCGCCTAGCAGCGTGTGAGACTTGCGCATCAGTGGCTGTGTTTCTATCAGTGCTCTCAGCAGCGCGTCGCTGGGATATTCGGGATTCTCCGTGAGGTTCTTCACGCAGGTATCGATGCACATGGTATGTCGCATGTTCATATGTCGACGGAACATCGAAGATCTAATACGGGGTCAGCTTCGGCTGGTAGCAGGGGCATTGGTCTCAAGCGCCACGCACTTGTGGGTCAGATAGTAGCAGCCCAGAAGAGCTCGTTGAGCCGCCGGCGTCTTGTGTAACTGCTCCTTCCGAGGTTCACTGATCTGTCCCGACTGCAGTTGCATCTTAACCGTCTCATCCTGATCCAGACCGAGGTCGTAGACAAGCATCGGCAGCACTTGGAGGAGCAGGTACTGATGCGCATGCATGCTCTTCCAGTGGTAATGGTACCACGCCGAATGCACCAGTAGTCCCTGCAGCAGGTCCATGCTCCGCTCGCTGTTGACGAAGACCCGAGTCGCGACCGTCTGTCTGATCATGCCTTCCAGCTTTAGCTGTAAGGAGTTATTGTGCTCCAAGGAAGCCCAGACGATACATGTCAGCAGGAACGGGTACTGATCGCGCAGCGAGGCAATGTCCATGTCTGGGGGTATGATAACAAAAGGGAAGTGGTGCATCTTCTGGGCCCGAAATTTGGCCAGGAGCTCGTCGGCCTCCTCGAGGGTGAGCAGGTGACCGAAAAGTGGGTCGCCTTCGCTCTCACTGCGGGCGAGTCGCGACGGTGAGTCCTTCTGATACGTATCGGGCGAGTCGTTTGTGTTGGTCATACTGGCGGTTCGCGACGGGGTCTGACAGTTGGCAGCTTGCTATGAGACTCTCCATCAATACCTTCCCGAACGATCAGATGGACTCGAGAAGCATACCTTGCTGGCAAGTTGGGTGACTAGATTATCGATCTGTTCCTGCAAGGCATCGATGCGTGTTTTCCTGGAACAAATCAGTCAATGAGGGGACAGTCCATGATGAGACAGGGGTGCGCAAGGGAGATAGTACCTGGGCCGACTACTCGCGCGTAAGCTATCGGGGAGACTGCATGACTGGCCCAGTCTAGTGCAGCGGACGCAAGTGCCAGTGCCTTCGACAGGCTGACATCGCACTTTGAGTCGAACACATCGGACGCAAGCATGGCGTCTCGGGGGTTGTCTCCGATTCATGTTTGGTTATCAAGAGTGGAGTAGTGTGGTCT